TGGTAGTGAATAGAATTAGGGGAGTGGAGCCAATGTCAGCAGAACTGCCAGATGGGATGTGGGAGAGAAACAGCTCTAACTCACACTGTGTGATGTTGTTAGCTGTGTACTACTTCCTGTGGTTCAGCATCATAGAATACTTTTAGATTCTCACCGTAAGTGAAGTATTTTAATTAAATAGAGCTCATTTTTAAAGCTTAGTAGTTTTTGTGATGAAAGAAATTTAACAAGTAAATAACAGATACATGCATCTGAGGCACTTATTATTGTAATGGGCCTTATTTTTTCTTTGTAAAAACAAGACACTGTGTCCACTCACTGTCCACTCTATTAGACACTCTACCTTGTTGGTCCACCTTGTAGATGTAGAGTCAGAGACGATAGCTCATCTGCTGCTGCACAGTTTGTGTTGGTCATCCTCCAGTCCTTCATCAGTGGTCACAGGACGCTGCCCACAGGACGCTGTTGGCTGGATATTTTTGGTTCTCAGTCCAGCAGTGACACTGACATGTTCAAAAAAATTCCAGCAGCACTGCTGTGACTGATCCACTCAGACCAGCGCAACATACACTAACACACCACGTCAGTGTTACTGCAGTGCTGAGAATGATCCACCACCCAAATAGTATCTGCTCTGTGAGGGTCCATGGGGGTCCTGACCACTGAGGAACAGGGTAAAAGGGGGCTAACAAAGTATGCAGAGAAACAGATGGACTACAGTCTGTAATTAGAACTACAAAGTGCTCTTATATGGTCAGTGGAGCTGATAAAATGGACAGTGAGTCTAGATACAAGGAGGTAGGTTTAATGAAGTGGCTGGTCAGTGTGCCCTGCATGTACTCAGACATCAGGCAGTGTATTGATAGCCACTTCATTTAAAGGTGCAGTGTGTAAGATTTAGAGGAATTTATTAGAAGATTAATTTATTAATGTCTAATTTATTAGACATAGAATATATTAAACATAACCCTGTTTGTATTTCACACAGGAGAAGAGAAAGTATTCAACTGGTTGCAATCTGCAACCTCACCACTAGATGCCACTAAATCTTACACACTGCTCCTTTGATAACTCTCTTTGAGGGGGCTTTTAGAGGTGGATGTCTGGTTTCTATCACCTCTACTGTAAACAATTCTGACTCTAAGTTTTTTTCTGAGAACAGAGAATTTTACATTAAACCTCTCTGGAAGACTGTGTACATTTCAACTATTTCGTTAATACTTATTAATGTATTTATTTAATATTAATGCAGAAATTTAGAAAGATCACTGGAATTTTAATTTAAGAAAACAGGGCAGATTCTTCAGTTGGTCTGTGAACATTTTAATGGAAACAAAGAATTTTCCTTATACAATGTTAATAAACAGCATTCCATTCCAAAACAAGCATCCACAGAAGTAAACAGCCTCATAACCTACTAAAGCGACACCTCACATCCGTCTGTGTACTGTGTATACCTGTGAATGAAGAGTAAAGCAGGGTTTGGTGGGCTCTGTAAAGTTCTGTTCTTCCTCACTGGTTGTACTTGGTGACCGCAGGCCTGCCGGTGTGGAAGCGGATCCATTCAAAATAGTGGGCCACTTTAGTGTAAACGCCGGGGAAACCAGCGTCCCCACACTTCTCCCCCCAGCTCACGATGCCCCACACGTACGACAGCCCGCTGGCGTCCTTACACACCAGCGGACCCCCGGATTCGCCATGACATGAGTCCACATTACCTGAGCAGGTAAAGACAGGGCAGATTTAGAGAAGTGAGCCTGGGAAATACACCAAAGGTATTTTTTAATGAACACATTTTTATCTTCACTATTCCAACCCATTTAAGAACCAAATAATAATAATAATAATAATAATAATTTATATAGCACCTTTCATGCTTCACAATGAATTTAAACAAGAAAATCATGTAAAACGGTTAAAGCAAAAATAAAAACAATTGAAAGAAGGGCTTGTTTAATAACAATTGTAATAATAATAATAATTATATGTAAATAATAATAAATAGATAAATAAATAAAAACAAATAAGCATTAAAATATAAAGAAAATAGGCCCGTTCAGGCTACAGCAGTTTAGCCCCACCTATTCAGCCTACATCAGTTTAGCCCTGTCCATTTAGGCTACAGCAGTTTAGCCCCACCCATACAGCCTATAGCAGTTTAGCCCCACCCATTCAGCCTACAGCAGTTTAGCCCCGCCCATTCAGCCTACAGCAGTTTAGCCCCACCCATTCAGCTACAGCAGTTTAGCCCCACCATTCAGCCTACAGCAGTTTAGCTCCTTTAGGGCCTGTAAATCACAGTGCATGTGAATAATGTTGAGTTTCAGCTCAGTACAGGTTACAAACTGACATACATAATCAGTCAATTATCTGCAAATATAAAAAGAATAGAAATGTCTTACCTACTCACAACAGATCCTGCTCACACATACCTGCACACTCCATTCCATCAAAGAACCTCTCCTTGTAGTGGTTCTTGCAGTTTCCAGTAATCGTCACATTGGTCCATTTCAGAACATTTGACCTGTGTCCCTCTATAAGAACCATAGAGAAACACTTGAAAACAATAATCAGCTTCCTCAAATCACTGGATACCATGACAACAGCATTACAGAGACACCAGAACAGCCTCTATGATTCATTCCTTCATCCCTGTTGTGGATTTTTTAGTTTTTTAGTTTTTTAAATAAATGAGTTGTTTTTCTATGTAAACATAATTAAAGTTTCAAAACATACAGTTCACCCCCAGTGCATATGGTCCACATATGGAAACAAAGTTGCAAAAAGAGCCCGTTCTGACTTTACATATATGTACCTATTTGACCTGCAGCAGTTTAACCCATTTACACAAAAGTTTCAGCCTGAAATTCCATTTGAATGAAGCATTTGAATACAGGGCCACTCAGACCAGAGGTCATTTATAGAAGAGTCAGCTGAAGCCATGAACTGATCCAATAACAGTTCTCTAATGGATGAATCAGCAGAACATAACACTGAATTTGCAGGGGTGGTCACCACCAACCTCACACTTCACACTACCAGTAACCCACCCCTCCACCCACCCACACACAGAATAACACATCACATCCGTTTTAACATAGACAACAACCTAAACAACACAAACAGGACCTTATTTAACTGGTATAACTCTTATTGATCTACTGGTTGTCTATGTGCCGCGTGGCTGCTGCCACAATTTTATAGTCTTATGCAAAAGTTTGGGCGCCCTGGTCAAATTATGTTTTATTGATTTTCTAAGTAAAAATATGTGCGCACACCCTTTACTGCACAATTACTGTTGGTTTGCTGAATGGGCCTGTGCATAAGTTATGGCACATTCTATATTTTATGCTTTGTTTTTCCCAATATGCTAAACAAATGAATAAGCCAGTAATTAGAATTAAACACTAAAAGTGCCATATTTAAGTGAGCTTAACTTATTTACACTTAGAAAATTAACAGAACATGTAGTTTGACCAAGGATGGTCAAACTTCTTGTATCAGCCTTAAAGGCAGAGTAACAAAAACAGCCTGTTTAATTCCAAGGAATAAAGAGAGGTTGGAAAATGGTCATTTTAAAAAGGAGTTAGGGCCTTTTTTTGACCTTGTTTTTGGTGGATAAACACACACAAACATCATAAGAGGACATTAAGGTATAAAAGCCTTGTTGTGGATGCTGTACTTCTGTTATTGCCCCAGCCGGAGATGGTGCAGGTGTCTCCATCCTGGAACTGCAGAGTGGACCACGGCACACACACGGCCCGAACTGCAGGGTTGGGCAATAAACACTCTTTCGAGTGCGCTAACTCCTCCAGCTGCACCAGCGCGATGTCGTTCTGGTAGGTGCGTGGGTTGTAATCTTTATGGATGATGATGTTCTTCACTGGAGCGACGTCCGTTGTGACCAACGGTTCAGTCTTCTTCCACAAAGACAACTTAACCCGGTATAACTCAGGTTTCGGCCTGCACACAAACACAACCACTCAGAATCAGTTCATTTAGTTTATTAAAGAGAAAGTTCAGTGAAAAAAAGCTTCACATACGTGACATTAACGATGACGATTTTCCCATTTGAATTTTTTGATCATTTACATCATTCACAATGCATCATGACAAACTTTATGCAAATGAGCTGAGTGTAGACCCATCAGATTGCTGATATGTGGCATGGTAACTGATTGTGTCCAGCCCACAGTCACATGTTGAGATTTAACGCTGGAGAGCACACAAAGCAGGAGATATCATGGTTGAAAAAAACATCATTATTACCTTAAATTTTTGTCTAAAACAATATTAGACAGCTTTGGGACACTAAACTGGTCTATAACTGGTCTATATGTTAACTTAAATGAAGCATGGCTACTGCAAGTTTTGAAAACATATCAATAAAATAGAAAAATCTAAATTCAAATCCAAAGCAAGCACCGATCGGTCTTTACTATGCTCAAATTATTATAAAGATCAGATCTCTATTATGTATGTTTTTTTTAATAAATATTATTAGTAATGTTATTATTGTTATTTCTAGTGGTTGCAATCCTGAAATCTGGGGGTGTTGCAGCACCCTCAGCACCCCAACTCCCCCCATCCCTGCCCATGAATAAATGCTGAAGAAATAATAACCTAAACTAACATTTCAAAAACATTTCCTGAACACGCTGCAGTATTTATACAGGCAAACCACATTACTTATTATGCTTAAACATTATGTTATTTATGAAAAACATTAACGGTGCTTTTATTTTTTCTCTGCTGTTGAAAGAAAACCTTGTATCTCCAAAATGGTAACTTTACAAGAGAGAGAAAAAACCTACTTTACTTTTAATGTAAATCAATGGAACCAGACTTTTTTCCAAGTGATTTTGGGCCGTTTCTTTTGGTTCATCCCTCATGAAATTTACAGACAATGTAAAGAGCAACATCTGCCCAATGATAGCTGGGATAGGCTCCAGCACCCCACCGTGACCCAGAAGGATAAGCGGTTTAGATGATGTATGTATGTATGTATGTATGTAAAGAGCAACATGCACTTTCAAATTATGTCAAAAACTGAAAAACGACTAAAATGGACATACAAGGTTTTATTCCGACAACAGTGATTTACATAAGTAAACGGTTAGTAAATAGTACAACTTAGTAATGCAGTAAGTATAACATAATCGTTAACAAATGATTAGATAAAAGTTATAGGGGACTGTTATTACACAGCCTGCTCTTGTTGCTGTACCTTTGAGACTGATCATTTATAACTATGTAAATGACCAGCCAGTAAATGACTGGCTGTATTGTGTCTCATTCAAAAAGCAGTCTGGGCTGAAACCCTCCTTGTAACTTCAGTGTAAGTGGGCGGAGCTAAACTGCTGTAGTCTGAATAGGTGTATATAAGAAAATACATATTGGAAATCAAACAAACTCTTTTTGCATTTTTACTTCCAATTATGGACAGTTTTCCATAACATGATTCCTTTAAAGCTCAACAAGGTTTGAGTCATATGAGATGATTTAGACATGCAGTTTATATGATGGTAATTGGTGGGGTAGAGGTTTCCCTCACTCTTTAGCTACTTTAGCCTCGTAGCGCCAGCGTAAAACTAAAGTAACAAATTTCAGATACCAAGCATGTCTTGGCTGATTGATTACATTTGGAGGAAGAGCGGAAAAAAAGGCCGAACTATCGCTTTAAGGGTAATGAAAGATCACTGGGCCATACGAAAGAAAGAAGATGTATGGATAATTCTGCTCACTGACTGGTTACCTGACACAGTGGGCAGCAGTCAGAACCCAGCAGCCCCCCAGGTAGACCCCCTCACAGCGGAACCTGTGTTCCTCCGTCAAAGCTGCATGCCACTGGAACTGCCACTGAAACCGAAGGTCGCCGGAGGTCAAAATACAAGCCAACAGTATAAAGTCTAAGCCTATAATGTCTGTTTGTAGTTTAAACACTACTGTTCAAAAGTTTGATATTGTTTTAAACAATATAGAAGCAATTTGTTCTCTATTTAATGTATAAAGTGAATTCAGTGTGCATCTTCTGTATAATATTCTGTTTGTCTCCAGCAGAGATTTTGTTGTATGATAACTTTTCTGCAGGCCTCCTAGTGGCCAAAGTGCCATCAGATGGAAACTTATGTTTTTAATTGATGTAATCACTAAAAAATTCCCTGTAACTCTGGCTTCAGATGAACTAGTGCACTGTTGTCTGTCTGTGTGTGAAATATTGAGCTGCTAGCAAGCAATGAGGGTGAAAATGGAGGGGTGAGAACCTGCTGCTGTGAAAAATAATTCACACCTCTCCACAAAGACAAAAAAGGGACAACTGCAGCTTTCTTCATATATAAACTTCACTGACATTTTACGTTGTTTGACGTTTTATGTTCATTGTTTTATGATAGTTTTGAGAGGGTTTTGGTCTAAAACATATTTTAAAATTGATTAATGGTGGAGGGGTGCATGAACAGTGCATGTCAAATAGTCCCCAAAGAAAACTATTCATGCAGGTTCACTGGTGGTTTTGGGTAGTAAATAAAATGGCATCTCTACAATAAACCGTTTCACACCAAACCACTCTGAATATTCTGTTCACACCTCAACCACTGAATTCTGCAAGAATCCAGGTTATCACTGTGCTTGCATTTGTTGTTTATTGTAATTTTATGCAATTTCTGCAGCTTGAACCTGAACCTTGAACCTAACCTGTTCTTAATTTGCTCTCATATACTAAAAAAGGCAAACTCTACCCCTGCAGTGAATGTGTATTCATAGTAATCCGGTGACATTGCACATTTGTGCTTTTTATGAGATAACAAAGCCATAACCAATCCAGCAAGTGTAGTAAAATGTAGTATTTTTTGCAGAAAACTGAAACAAATTTATAAACTGCTTATTAAAGTATATTAACCAATGTATCTGTGTTTTATATTTAAGTGATACATTTTATTTGATTTGTTGCTATAGTGACAATAAATGAAAGCTGAAATCTAAACAGCTATGTTATTGTTCTGTCCCAAACCACATACTAGCACACTAAATACTACTCAAAAATAGTGCATATATCATTAGAAGTGCACTCATTAGCGTAATAGGTGTAGTATAGAAATTTGTTGTTTGAGACGCAGCGTTAGATCAGCCAATGAGACTTGTTCAACAGTCCAGCCGCTCCAGTGGCTGATTACAGCTCTGCTGGGCTGCTTGTTATCATTAAACATCTCCAAATGCAAGTTTAAGATATATCTTGATTAAAGATGTATTTATTGGGGTAAATTACTGCATTTATTGAGGATCACTGATGCTTCACAGTCGCCAGCTTCTTGTTTGAAATTCGTTCTATGCTTTAAGAATCTCAATGTAACTGCAGCACCATTTTAGGTGGAACGGAAGATTCAAATAAGAAGCTGTTTTTTGTAAAATCTTACAGATTAGAATTTTCTGTGTAGGTTATATGGATCTAGTACACTAATCTAGCTACTTCCCGTAGCATTTTCTGGACACTGGATCTGAAGTGTCCACATGTTTTTTCATGTTTTTCATGGTCATTCTGGTCTATTGTGCTTGGTCGTCGTCCACATGCAGCGGTGCTGAGCCCTATCAGAGCACAGTCAGAGACACAGCTCGCCTACCAAAAATGGTGCGGGGTGTTATGGGATGTTCTTAATGGCCTAATCGAATACTATGAACAGTATGTGCAGATTCTGACCGGTAAGGCCTCCTGTCCTCCCACCATTCGTTTTCTGCGGATGAAACGGGAGTGCTCGCTCGTCCTGTGAACGTAATCCGGGTTGGGAATACCGCATTCCAGCTGACTCTCAGTGTAGTTACGAACCTGCAGGATATCTAACACACACCCATACACGCACACACACACACACATACACACAGCAGGGCATCAGTATGTTAACACAGATTTACACAGTTCATCTCTAAAAAAAACCTGGACTGAAAAGTTAATTAACAAGATATTTACCATTCTTTGGGCTCCACCAGACAGTCTCTGAAAAAAAGGACATGTTAGTGTCTTTTTCCTCTATGTGTGTGTGTGTGTGTGGGTGTGTATGTGTGTGTGTGTGTGAGTGAGTTTTTGCTTGGGATGTTTTGTGCGCAGGTTTATTCAGAGGCTGCTCTTTTGTGGAATTATAAAGGCGGTTCTCCTAAAATCTCTCACACAACATGAAAACTGCATCAGAACTGAGACGTTCTTAGTGTTGGATGAGAAATGGTTCCTATAGCTCAGGTCAGGGGTCCAAAGAGTACTGAAAATCCTTACTTAAGTAAAAGTATTGTTACTTTAGTGATAATGTACTTGAGTACAAGTAAATGTATCAATAAAGGAAATTAGTAAATAAATTGTTCATTGAAAAAATACTTGAGCAGTTGAGTTAATTTTTGTATATCTGCAAACACAATCTGACAATACCTCTGAATTGAAAAAACTAAAGCAGAACCTGAGAAACCACATTTACACATCGTTCTGTGAACTGTGTAAAGAACAAGGTTTACATTAACCTACATACATTTCATTATTGACTGATTATATGAGGCTTCCTAGTTTCTGTTTCCAATAAAAAAAAAGTTTAAAATCCCCGAAAGGCTGTGCAGATATTCTGACTGTTTTAGTAACTAAATGCTAAAAATGTAAACTGAAATTTAATATCTAGTTGAAGTTGGGATTCCTGTTGAACAAATAATTGCAAATGTGCACATTTCCAAGGATATTTGATAGATGACATACATTAAAAAACCTGTGGGATGAGAGCATGTTTCCCACTGTGTTACATCAACTTTCCTTATAAAAACTGTCTGGGGACTGAAAACACCAACTGATTCATTTTTAAAGCAGAATTTCTTTGCCGTTCTCTGTCTTCAGCTGCGCAATAGGGCGGGGCCTTCATTATTGTATGTTGCACTTCATAATGCACCACACAGGCAGGGCAGTCCAGCCTCTGCTCTCTCTGACTGTGCATCCATGCTCTTGTAACACTTAGTGTTGTCCTGTTGAAATAAGCATGGATCTCTGAAAAAGACGTTGTGTAGAAGGCAGTGTATGTTATTCCAAAATGTGTATACATCTTTCAGCATTAATCCTGCCTTCACAGCAAGTTGCTCCCATATACCATTCCATGACAGACCCTGGCTTTTGAACTTTATGCTGGTAACAATCTGGATGGTCCTTTTCTTTTTTTGGTGTCCACTGTGCATAGCACCGTCTCGACTTGTATTTTTGGTTTTCACCAGTTTTCACTGGTTAACATGAATATACAGATACTCTCTGAATGGTCTATCATTCAGCTAGTATGAAATAGTTTTAGGCTCCCACAGTATATGAGTATGTATGTAAATATATATACTCATATACATTGATTTATATTACTAGCCAGTATGTGAATAACGATCAGTTGATCAGCCCATTCCCTCTTACAGAACTCTTTTATTTTGGTGGGCTTTCTTCCACCAAGTCTTCAGTCCTGCCACAACATTTCTATTAGATTAACATCTGAACTTTGACTCAACGATTCCAAAATGTAACATTTTCTTTAGCCATTCTTTGTAGGTTACCAATACATTTTTGTAGTGGTGTTAGAATTGTTGTCCTGCAGAACTTTACACAGAATTTTATGAACTCAGTGCTAACATACTACTGGAATCCAACAGAGGTGCTAGCAGAAATTCTGAAGGACAAACAGATTTGCTGTTGTACTCACCTCCAAATTATGCACAGAAACAGCTAAACAACCTCATAGGTGGCCAGTAGCTGTTTTGTCCTCAGCAAAGCTTCATCTGTTGTGATGTTAGCTGCACGATCAGAGGAAAGCCGATTTCCCACAGATCGGAGGGTCATCAGTTAAGTTACATTCATTGTAGTATATATGATCATAAACAAGATCGTCGGACAGTGTGCATGTGATCCTGGTGGGGTTTCTCCAGTGGTAACAAAGGCTTAGAGACGCCTCAGAATCATCCACACCCAGGGGCGTGTGGGGGTCTTCATCTGGCTGTGAGGGCATCTGCGCTGTATTATGTAATACGTGCTGAGAGAGGAAGTGAATGAATCTCACCAGTTTGGAGCAGGTCCCACTGCAGCAGTGGGGACTTCATCGTCTCCTCCGAGACAGTCTCTGATCCCGTCCCGAACAGCACGGCCCGGAATACACACTCCAGACTTACAGAGGAACGCCCCACTCTGGCACTCTGAGCACACAGCAGTCAGATTAGAACAGAGATACGAGTTGAATAAGCAGGTAAACAGACTCTTTAGAGTAGAACTTCTCAAACAGCTGCTGAACAGGTGTTTTTTTTACTTAATGATCGAGCACTAACTCTCACGTTTCATATCATAATGAATAAGCATGAATATGTTTAAAAAGAGTGTGATGAAGTTTATCACCACTGATACCCTGAAAACTAAATTTGGGCTGATTTGGAATTAATTTAGACTAAAATCCTTTTACTTTGAGTGACTCTATAACTGTTTATTTTATTAAAGCAAATGATTGAACATTCCATATTTTTTACTTCCAAAAAAAAAAATCATAACACTACCGAAACTTTGCAACATGTTTCAGTAGTGACTGTTTCGGTCGTGGCAATTTTAGCTCATTTTGAGCAGACCTCAGAAACACTAGCCAGTATGTGATCAAACAAAGCTGTGAACAGTTATACACATAAAAATCAAAATAGTTTCCATTACTTAAATGCAGAAAATCTGTGTTTCAGTAGTGACAATTCTTAATGTTCCACACTGATTGTCAGACTTCGGGACACATTTACTTCAAATCAATGAGATCTCACCATGTAGCCACGAGGAACAGGGATGCAGGGGCATAGCTGTGACATTTTTTTATTTTAATTTTTTATTATTATTTAAAAAAAAATTAATTGAATTCAACCTCACTTTAACAGAAAGTAAAATAAATAAATAAAAAAGTAAGTTTGGGACAGACACCTCCCAATAGAAGGTACCTTATAAATTATGATTTTGTGTATATTTAGCTTATTACCATCTGAAATGCATTAAGGGTTACATAGATCATAACATACACCTTGTAAATTTGTAAGGTCTGAATACTTTTACTGTGGGACCGCAGTTTGAACTAATTCAGTAGAATGATCCATATACAGCAGTTCTGCAAATTAAAGAAAGTAAAGTAAAGAAGCCCCAAATGTTGTATAACGTGCTTTAATATTAGCAATTTCTTCCACAAAAATTAGTACCTTTTTATTTACAGATATAGTCATAAAAATCCATATCAGGTTCAGCTCAGCTTTGTCAGTGTTTTCCAGATGAAGCTGAATGTGGTTTTGTTCCAGTGAGTCTGTAAAGCATTTCACAGCCCATCTTTTTGCTGAATTCTATTCTGTTTGTTTCTGGCTGATTCCAGTGTCTGTAGTTGTTCTGATAGCCACCGAAAAGCTGGCCTAAGATCTACATGTTCAGAATCTGATGTAGTCCTGCGGTCACTCTCTTCTTCAGAATCTGACCAAATGGGCCGCAGGTCAAATATCTTATAGAAGTTATATAACGTACAGTTTCTGTTTTTGTAAATTGCTGCTGTCGGAACAAAACCTTGTATCTTCATTTTTGTCGTTTTTCACTTTTTGGCATAATTTCAAAATGCTTGTCGCCCTTTACATTGTGTGTAAATTTCATGATGAACAGACCAAAATAAATGGCCAAGCAACACTTCGTAAAATGTCTGGTTCCATTGACTTAAAAGTAATGTATGTTTTTTCCTTCTCCTGGAAAGTTAACATTTTGGAGATACGAGGTTTTGTTCCGACAGCAGCGATATGCCACGTTGTATGGTTGCCTGAATTATTTAATATGATATGATCTGCCATGTCTAAAGTGAGCTGGTTTGGAATGATATATATATAATATTTATGTATTTAAATTGAGGCTATAGAACTGATAAAGTACTCACCTTTGCAGCACATCTCATCGCTGTTATCTCCACAGTCATCGACTCCATCACAGGTGTGTTTCCACAAAATACACTTCTCATTCACACAGCGGAACTCCGGACACGCGTCATCATCTAATGCAGAGAAAAAGAGCCAGAATAGATAAAAACGAATGCATTCATTCTACCAATTAAGAGTGAAGTTAAAAGGTTGGTTTTAAGGTAGCCATTCACTGGTGCACTGCACTCTGGGAATAATTTATAATTATATTTTAAAAAGGGCCCATATTCTGTATTTTTCTTGAATGAAATATTTGAGGAATGTAAAAAAAAAGTTGCAATAATTCATTTCTCGACAGCCAGGAATACACACACACACACACACACACACACACACACACATCTAAGCCGCTTCTCCTTCTGGGTCGCGGGGTTTGCTGCAGCCTATCCCAGCTGTCATCAGGAGGAAGGCAGGATACACCCTGGACAGGTCGCCAGTCCATCACAGGGCAGACAGACAGACAGACACACACATTCACACACACACTCACACCTAGGGGCAATTTAGCATGTACAATTGGCCTGACTGCATGTCTTTGGACTGTGGGAGGAAACTGAATGGCAGTATTATTGTGTTTTTTGGCATCTCAACCATGATGAATTCAAAGTGGGCAGCTTAGTGCCCACTTAGGCAACCATTATGGAATCATTTAAAAAAAGCAAGGGAAACTGAGTGCTGATATGGGCCCTTTAAGTACAGCATAATTAGTGCAATAGTGGGTTCTGATGGGGGAACTGCACCTTGGGGTTTCTTGTAGCAGGTAAAGGCAGCAATCTGAGTATCCTCCTCCACGTCCTGAGGCTCATAGATGGTACATTCAGCCAGGGAGTACTCAGATCCTGTGCAGCTCACACTCATGCACTGAGATGGCCATTGATGGCCAACCTCCAGATCCTTAATCGTCATCTTCTGAGCAGAAAGCTGCACCTCTAATTCAAAAGAAAGAAAAAAAATAGGAAACTTGCTGTACTGATGGGATTACCTGGCCATACAGGTATGATTATTTGAATGTACAGGTGGGACTGCATGTCTGTACAGGTGGGATTACCTGATTTCAAGGTTGTGATAACCTGGCTATACTGGTGGGATTACCTGGCTGTACTGGTGGATTTACCTGACTGTACAGGTGGGATTACCTGGCTTCTGCTTTCAGGCTGCGACAGATAACATTAGCTGCAGCCATGTCCCACGATTTAGCTCCACAAATCAGAGCTTTTCCTTTTTCAGTTTCCACTTGAACCACCTCTCGATCACCGGATTTCTTTAGCTCCACCTTAAAAACATCTGTAACACACACACACACACACACACACACACACACACACACACAGACAGTCATTCTTATTTCTTCAACTCTCCAACATACACTACCATTCAAAAGTTTGGCATCAATATTTTTTCCCACATTTTGGATGCAGATAAATGACAAAATGTGATATGTATGTATATATATATATATATATATATATATATATTATATATATATATATATATTGATATATGTGTGTGTATATATATATATATGTATATATATATATATATATATATATATATATATATATATAATGAGGAATTTAATATGATGCTGGTGCTCTGCAGCTTCACATTCTTCAAATAATTAGTAGGAAACTATAAATAAAATAGGAGAAATACACATAAAAGATGTAGATGACTCTAAAATGACTGGGACAGCTGTAGAACTAATAAAAATTAGCAAATATTAACAAAAGTAATAAAAACATTATCCAGAATTAAGTTTTAGCAAAATTAATATCCAGAATAAAGCTCTAATAACATTAATATCAAGAACGAAGTTTTAATAGAATTAATATCCAGAATGTCTCGTATTCCATCTGTCTCTCACCTTCGCCACAGGGGCCGTAGTGAGAGAACACCGCTGTGTTGCTCCTGCAGGCGTCTACTTGTGCCTGACAGAAGGAGATGTAGGACTGTCCATTCAGTCCACAGACAGCTCTGCCCAGGCGTGGACACTGATAGGGCAGCTTACAGACGCACTTTCCATTGACGCAGCGCCTCCACGGCGGGCAGAACACTTTAGAACAGGACAGACGTGTGTACTTCTCATTCAGACACTCCTCAGACAGACGGTCACGGGCGGATTTGTAGGGCTGTGGAGCAGAGCCTGGTCTGGTGAGGTGTGGGTTTACTTCAGGCTCCTCCTCCTGAATAAACAGAACATTTATACACTTTTCATATAGCAACAGACACTCTGCACTGTTAAAAACAGCTATAAAAACAACTAACAAATTATAAAGAAATCAACCTGTCTTAAAATGTCGAGTTTACTGAACCCAAAGAAGTACGCAATCAGAACAATACTCGGCCGTCGTAAGCAGGGACAGATCATGAGGCCCAGCACAAGACATTCAATCAGAACAGAGGTCACAGACTACGACTTTGCAAAGACTGGGGATCGTGCAGGGTCACTATCTGCAAGACTGCAACTAGATTTGTGAGATTATATCCCATCATGCACCTGGTGGAAATTTACAAGCAGATAAACCTTTTCCTTCTCTGCTCTGCAGTGGTACAAATGGGAAGATATGCTGGCTGGGAATGCTCAGCCCAGTTCCCTGTAGAGCTGTATATTCTAGCAGATCTTCACCTGGAATATTTTAAATGAACCTGTAAAATATGCAGGTAAGATTTACACGTCGACAAAACATGCAGCGATTCAAACTCTTGTGGTTTCATTCTGACAGTGGAAAACTGTCTGCGACAGTAAAATTGCTTGAAAAGTCGTTTGGTGTAAGGCCGACATCAAAGGCACAGTTCCAACAACAACCTGTTAAAATGATGGGAAATAGAGAGGTTAGAAAATAGTCATCAACCCAAAGCCAACCCATCTGTAGTCCATCTGTTTCTCTGCATACTTTGTTAGCCCCCTTTTTCCCTGTTCTTCAGTGGTCAGGACCCCCATGGACCCTCACAGAGCAGGTACTATTTGGGTGGTGGGTCATTCTCAGCACTGCAGTAACACTGACGTGGTGATGGTGTGTTAGTGTGTGTTGTGCTGGTATGAGTGGATCAGACACAGCAGTGCTGCTGGAGTTTTTAAACACTGTGTCCACTCACTGTCCACTCTATTAGACACTACTACCTTGTCAGTCCACCTTGTAGATGTAAAGTCAGAGACGATAGCTCATCTGCTGCTGCACAGTTTGTGTTGGTCATCCTCTAGTCCTTCATCAGTGGTCACGGGACGCTGCCCACAGGACGCTGTTGGCTGGATGTTTTTGGTTGGTGGACTATTCTCAGTCCAGCAGTGACACTGAGGTGTTTAAAAACTCCAGCAGCACTGCTGTGTCTGATCCACTCAGAACAGCACAACACACACTAACACACCACCACCACGTCAGTGTTACTGCAGTGCTGAGAATGATCCACCACCCAAACAGTACCTGCTCTGTGAGGGTCCATGGGGGTCCTGACCACTGAAGAACATGCTAAAAGGAGGCTAACAAAGTATGCAGAGAAACAGATGGACTACAGTCTGTAACTGTAGAACTACAAAGTGTGTCCACTTCAGGAACTTAAAATTACCAAAAGAAAAAGAATTGTTATTATTATTAGTTTTTGTTGTTATTGTTACTGTTATCGTTGCTGTCCATGTAAAATACTGTTTGTAGAAAAAAAACAAGTAAATTAAGGGAAAGGAAAATAGAAAAAAATGTCTTTAAAAATGGCATTTTTAGTCTATTTGTGTTAGATTTAAACTACATTTGGCAAACTTTTAAGTAACCCCACTCTGATGTCTCCACAGTAATCAATACCTGTGATCAATAAGAGACCAAATCTCCGATTTATACTGACTTATTCTCATAACTTCCTCATAATCATTTAGCATAAACACTCAACTGCAGCTAAAATTGTTATCTAAAGACTCCAGCTCAGTAAATTAGGATTAACTTGTTTAATTTAAGGTCAGAGTTTACCACAAACTGGAGAGTAAACAGAAATGACTCATTGTTCAAATGAACAAACATGCTTAATGACCCCTAAGGCTGTGTGGTCACTACATGGCTTTTAAAATCTGAACAGGTTTCTAAAACGGAGAGTTTCACAAATCTAACGTCAGTTTGTCACAGCATTTCTTGACTTTTTGTTGTGAGGGCGCTCAGACTAGAGAAGTATAATGAGTTTGGGCTATGAGAGAACTCAAACTGCCAGATCTCCTCAGATCACGACACAAACGAAGCTAAACATACTGAACCTGTTTGTACTTTTATGCATAGCAAAAGCGCAAACTGGGGATTAATATGGGGTTCAGAAATGCTGATATCTCAGTGAGAGCTGGTGAAATATTTCACTACAAACTGTCAGCTGACTTGAAATTGTAAAGAGAGTGCCTTGACCTCTGGATCCATACATAAATATAATAACAGCTCTTATTTGCCTGTGTTTTACACGCAGCTCCTCTGCCTTTGTGTTCAGCTGTTCAGGCAGTGTCCATGCACATCTCTCGCCTTTGTCTCCGCTCTTCTAGCTCTCTGATTGGCTGTCGTTTGATTCACTCACTGAGTTCATCTCTGACCTTCTCACACCACAGGACTCGTGAACGTTTTGAGTTGTAAATATCAAACATGTTTAACAATATCGGAGGGTCTCCGATCACTTCAGAGTTTGATTGAAGGTCTAAAGATTCACTCCGTCAGTCGCTTCCGAATAAGCTCCCAACCTGGACAATCACCTCAGACTGTGAAAATTTGTCACAAGGGGCAAATTGGGGTTAAAATCGTGCAAAAAATCTTGTAGGCCCAGACTAAAACACTTACAGCACTGTCACGCTGCTGGAGGAGAAGAACAAGGAGAAGGCCAAAGGTGGTCCTCATCTTTCTTCTGTCCTGCGTTTTTTTCTTTTTTGCCTCCTTTTCTTTCTTCGTCTTGTGGACAATCTCTCTCCCTCTGTGTTATCTAACTGCACATGGCACCAGAGGACAGTGTGATTGGTTCCAAAACTGGGTTCGACAAATCATTAACTTTGATCAATACAGACCAAATATCACTCACAGAGTGTGTTTTACTGGAACATGTAGTCAGATATTCCAGTAAAGCAGCAAGAGTCACATTATCACAGGCCAAACAGGAATCACATGACGGGAAGGAGTATGACGGGGACAGGTGTGGAAGTTGTTCTTGTAAAGCTACTGTAGACTCAAAGATTAAACCAGTAACACTTATTTAATGACTACATAAATGTGTCAGAAAAATGAGATTACAAGGCAAATTCATGCTGAAACCATCTTCATGATGGTTCTCAGTGGAGAGTCTGTTAGATGAGATCACACCACACTCACTGTACATCGGACACCACACCAGTATATGATGTACTATTGCCACCTGCAGGCCAAATGGTGGTGGTCTAAATGTTCAGTTGTAAGTCAAAGCCACACATGAGAGGTCACAAGCACTTTTATTAAGTCGCAAAGACAGAGTTTCCTTCCCTGTTTGGAAATATGCAGCTGCACAATATATCAACATGTAAATAAAAAATGATGTAAAATGAATAGCTTTAATAGCTCATGTGCTCCTTCAGCTGTTTTCAACAATAACAGACTGATTAAAAAAAAAGAGTACATTTACAGGGTTTTCTCTCCTGCTCAACAAATTACACAGCTGTGCAAATAACAATAAAACTGTAAACGGAATAAAAATAACAACAGACCAACTTGCTCTGACTACTGAGGTAGACAGTTCTTTACTGCCTTAGTTATATATAACTATATTATGTGGTTTATGGTACTGTTGTAAATGCTTCCCTCCGAGCGCGTTCGGCTGGCCAATGACGTTGCGTGAGCAGCAGTTAGAAAAGAAACATTGGTGCTTCACAGGCCTCAGAGGAAGCCTTCTCCAAATAATTGTTTTCTTTTCATAAATCAGATCATCTTTTGGCAATGTAGACAGGCACTGTGTCTCCCTCCATGGTGCAGGAGAAATTGTGAGTAGGGCCAGGATTGCATAGAGAGTGTGAGAGAGGAGAGATGTTGGAGAGAACACTGGCTCGGCTTTGTGGACGAAACAGATCATGTATTTTAAAGCAACATCAAACTATATTGATATAAATTATATACATCCTATAACTTGTTTGAAAATGTATCTATATACTGTAAAAAGCCAATATACTGCGAAGTATCTCTTAATAAAGTAAAATCTTTAGACACAGTTTAATATTCACATATGGGTAAAAGCACTCATGAAGCATTCGTATTTTCAACAGATACAATGATAAGCTTCCATAATTTATATCATTTGCCATATATTGTTCCTTTTTGATTTTGTCTTTAATTTATGGGAATTTGGCACAATGGAACCAACAATTATTGGAACTGCATTTGTACAAATATAATACTCCTAGTTTTACAGAAACATGTACAGTGACATTGTCTAGTGGAAAAGTCATAAGTCTAGTAGCACCATTTACATGCCCTTGGTTATAACTTTGAAGGAAACCTTGACTTGTAGACCTCAATGTGAGGTAAATATCCTTATAAATATCATTTATAAATCATAAAGTTTGTTAGACAACAATTGAGCATTGAGCTTTGATCTGTCTGAAAAAGATCAGCATGTGGTGCTGCTGCAGCATGGTCACCAATTCTAGCTTAAAGTAAGCTCCCTCCTCCAACCACTACAAGAAGCCCACTACAAGAGAAGCCCAATAACAAAAGGTAATATAGCAAAAATGTAATCTTGTGATACTTAAAGTAGTTTTCATGATACATAATATGCACATTACAGATGCATTTGTGTTTCAACAGTGTTTCACATGTTGACTAATACTGGGATCAGACTACAGGAATTCAACCCGATTTTGACATAATTTTGTAGCTAACATATTTCCAGCAATTGGCCCAAATATGAGCATCAGGAACGAGGATTAGGCTTTGTAGTGTGACATAATCAAAGAACAGCAATGCGGCGTCTGGGACGTCCCACAACAAAGTCTAGAATGTCAGAATTTTTTGTATTTCCCTGCCTAGCCTGACAACTCCTACAATGTCTTCTTTGATGTTGATCAATGGGATGACAGAATGTTCTCTGGCACACATATGTAAACATAGTGAAGAGAAGGAAGGATACTGCTGTTGCAGCTGTCAGGTGGAACAATGAAACAGAGTAAAGGATCATTGAGCTGTGGCAACAATACTCCTGCCTTTACATGCCATACAGCTAACCTGGTAGCTAACTACACTTATGTAAAGTTCTTCACATTCATTTCCTAAAGCTCTCTTTGAAGGACAGATAGCCCACATACTGTCTTCTTCGTGACACCCAGGAACAGGTCCACCATAATTTTAAAAATAATCTGCCTTTTCTTTTTCTTTTCTAAACACATAACCACCATAGTGCTTCTGTTTCTTGACCTTCCTCCTCAATGACCTAAGAACTGCAAGGACATGAACAATGATTGGTCAGTGTTGCCAGTCTCCCAACCAAGACACTTCCTGAATTCATGGCAATATTATTAAATGTCATAATCATGACTTGTAATCTTTATAGCCATAAAACCCTTCACAAATGATGTATAGACAAACATCATGATACACTGTTACAGTGAACGCAGCAAGGAACATGACTAACAGTAGCTAGGTTGTGGGTTAGCAAACTGTCACTACAATTGCTGCTGTGAAGCTAACCAGACACTATCACAAACATTAGCAAACAGGACAAAACAATACTGACCTATTGATTCTGTGAAACCACAAAAATAAGTCAATGTTCCAACTTGAGCCTCGTCAACTCTCGGAGGTCTCTCTACCACTGAAACTCATTTACCTGATGTAAGAACTTTTGTCTCAATCTTGGTTCTTCAGATCTTCTCCTCTTTGGCTGTTTCTCGGCCATCTCTCCTTCTTGACAATGCCTGGAGCTCAGCCGTAGCGCCTCCCCTTCCCCCTGTCCTGTGCACAAGCACAAACGCCCCTGTTGCTGACTGCCTGGAAGCGTTGTGTGTCTTGGTCTGAGACCCGTAGACATGTAATAGAGAGCTAGCGAACCGTAATAGAGAGCTGGCGAACATAGAAATATTCTTATGTGTGTTTTACAAGAAATTTTATACTGAAACTGAATTTAAGGTTTGCAGGAGAGCAGAAAAAAATGCTTTATTAATCACTTTAGGCTCTACAGCTGTCCACAGTGACATTCAGTGTATTTTAATTGAAAAGTCAACTAGTCAGTGGAAGCTCTATCACATACATTCTTCCCCTCTCTCTTTTTTACACATGTACACACACAAAATACTGAAAGTAAAAGAGTCTCTAGATGAATGGTGAATGATTCACTGTAGTTTCTTCAGTTTACAGTGTGGATCCTCCAGTAGATCACAGAGCTTCTTCACTGATGAATCTCCTAGTTTGTTCCAGCTCAGATTCAGTTCTATCAGGTGTGATAAGGGGTTGGATTCCAGAGCTTTAACCTGAGCAGTACAGCCTTCACCATTAATTTTGCAGTCATACAGCCTGCAGAAAGAGAAAAACTCCTCACACTTACAGCTCAACACACAAAGAGCACAATACAGAGCAAAGGCCAGTTCAGAGCAAAAACACCTGAATTTTCAGTCATTTGTCTAACATAAGAGAAATTTTTGTATTTTTAATTACTGTTTCAGTCCAGACTGGCTTCACTAGATGCACATTTTTAATTTGTAAAATATGAGCCCTTCATGATATTTTTTAAGCATCAAGCCTATTTTTTTCATTTGCAAGTGAGTAAAGCACAACCTCAATTGAAATCATACAATCTGATGTTTTATAGCATTACAGAATGTATGAAAAATAAATCTATGCCTATACAATATTTTGGTGTTGTTGCCATTGCAACAGTCTACAGAGGCAGCTGTTTTTTTAACCTGACACCAACAGTGGCAAAAACTTGTGACTGGAACTTTGTTGCAGTACACAACTCTGTTGTTTGTGTCACTGTTGAACCTGCTTTAAAAATGTTTAAACAAAAGAGAACAGACAAAATACAACTGACTTCATAACTCAATGAAAAAATAAATACATTTACAACTGTTTAAAAAACAGTCATGCAAAATGTAAATAATATTAGAATGCAAAGACATGCAAATAATTTAAACTCTATATTTAAATTTTACAAATTCTTACAACTAAGTGTTTGAGAAAAATATATGCCCATTATAGACAGGGGCATGTTTACCACTGCGTTGCATCATCACTTCATGTAACAAAATTCTGAAAGGGTTTTTGCGAATGAAGAGACAAATTGCTTTCAGTTTTGACCACTTTCAGTTTTGAAAGTTTTTTTTTCATTCCCGCTTGATATAGGATACAGCTGCTCAACAGTTTCGGGCCAAATATTATCACTGAGTGTGTTTACATGCACTTAATAATCCCATCAAAATCAGATTTCTGATTGTAATTCTGATCTATAATCTGATTATTCAAGTACCATGTAAACAGCATACTCTGATTTCTTAGATCAGATTAAGGCCTAGAAATCTGATTGGTAAAACTAATAAAGAGAGCAGGATTTTAACTCATTAATCAGATTTCTCAGCGCATTATAGTCTCACTCTGATTTCTTTCGGTTTTCTCAATATACACGTGTGAAAACAGACCACTGTATCTCAAATAGCAAATAGCAAACTCAGCACCCAAAACACTTCTGAAGTGATGCTGAAACCAACTACATGCTTGACAAAATTAAGGATTTAAATATTCTTCATCATCTAGATGTATATTCATTTTTTTCTGCTAAAGTGACTCAATGTTAAAAAAAAGATGAGTTTAACATTATGCTTGCATCATGTCTTATTCTGTGAGTTTCCTGCCTAGTTGCAAAGCAGAAAATCTGATTACTGTCTGCCTCATACAGACCTGGAGTTTTCCATTATCCGATTACCCAAGTGCATGTAAACATGAACATTTTACTGACAGAATATTATTTCCTACAGTGATCAGATTTTTAAGAGCATGTAAACACTATCTCTGTTATACAGTAGTACAGATTAATACATAGCATCATTTTCAGGTGCTCACTTTTGTTCAGTTATGCAACCAGCATCACTTGGCAAGCAATGTCACATCATCAGCATTATGTCATGCTCACATACATAAAATTAATGGAGCAACAAGGTCAGATGTCAAACTGAATGACTTTTAGAAATTAAATTTCACACATTCAGTTGTACATTAAAAACTATATCAGTTTCAGATTTTATACTGCTCTCTTATAAATCAGATGGTATGATTCAGATTTATAGATGTAATATGAGTAACTCACTGTAGTTTCTCCAGTTTACAGTGTGGATCCTCCAGTAGATCAGAGAGCTCCTTCACTCCTGAATATCCTAGTTTATTGACACTCAGTTTCAGCTTTCTCAGGTGTGGCGAGGGGTTTGATTTCAGAGCTTTAACCAGAGCAGCACAGCCTTCACCTGTAATTTTGCAGTTAACCAAACTGCAAAGAGAAGAAAACTCCTTACACATACAACTCAACACACACACACACACACTTTCATGATGTTTTTTAAGCATCAAGTAAATCTATGCTTACACAATATTTTGGTCTTTTTGGCATTGCAACAGTTTATGGAGGCAGCTGTTACCTGACATCACTAGTGCCAAAAACTTGTGATTAAAATTGTGTTGCAGTAAACAATTCTGCTGTTTGTGTCGCTTTTTTAACCTTAAAATTGTTTAAATAGAAAAGAACATAAAAAACAATTTACTTTGTATGTCAATGATAAATCAAATATATTGACATATAGTACTGTGAAAATGTATTTGCCTTTTCCCAGTTTTTTTCTATCTATTGAATATTTGTCACACTTGAATATTTCTCATCATCAAACTACATTTAATATTAGACAAAGATAACCCAAATAAAACACAAAACAGTTGTTTTTAAATGATGATTTCATATATCGAAGGAAAAATGCTGCTCAGCCCTACCTGGCCCTATGTGAAAAAGTAGTTCAATTCAAATTCAATTGACTGTTGGGTTTATTTTCACTGGCCACACCCAGGCATGATTACTGCCAGACCTGTTGAATCTAAATCAAGAATCTTAAAAAGAATCTGTCTGGCAATGTGAAGCAGGCTAGAAGGTCTTAGCACATGATGCCACATTCTAAAGAGATTCAAATACAGATATGAAACAAAGTCTTTGGGATCTACTAGTTTGAAAAGGGTTACACAGTCATTGCTAAGGCTCTGGGACTCCAGAGAACCACAGTGATAGCCATTATCCACAATATGGAGAAAATTTTGAATAGTGGTGAACCTTCCCAGGAGTGGCCAGCCTGCTACAATTTCACCGAAAGTACATCAACAATTCATCTAGGAGATTACAAAACAACTCAGGCAATCATATAAAGAAATGCAGGCCTTACTTGCCACAATTAAGGTCAATGTACACAATTCGACAATAAGAAAGACACTGGGCAAAAAAGGATTGTCTCACATTTGCCTTACACTTTTTCGTCAGCAGCACATCTACCGAGGCTGATTCTGTTACATCAGCTAAAATCTCATTTTTCTTGAAATCCAGAGAGTGTCGACACTCATCCAGATCATCTAAGATGAACACGACTGTGTAGTCAGCACAGTTTATTAAGTCTATTAATTGAAATTGTTTCATTTCTGGAAAAAAAGAGGTGAAGAAGATCAATCAGACTGAGCTTTTTTTTTTTATCAAATTCAGCTCCCTAAAAGGAAGTGGAACCCAGTCCAGAATGAACATCTGCACAGAGACTGTTTTTCCAATTCCAGCGATTCCTCTTGTCAGCACAGGTCTGATGGGTTTGTCTTTTCCAGGTATAGGTTTGAAGATGTCATTCCTTTTTATTGGTGTCTTGTTTTGGTCATCTCCTGGATGTTTCTATCTGTTTCACTTCATGTTCATTATTGACCTCTCCACTCCCACCTTCTGTGATGTTGAGCTCTGTATAAAGCTTATTCAGAAGTGTTGAGTTTCCATGATCTGACAGTCCTTTATTTATACTCCTAAATGTCTTCTCCAGTTCATACGTGTGTGTTTGTTTACACACAGTGACAAATTCTGATAAGCAGACACAGAAAAACATTGTAGTGTTTAGCAATGTATATGTTAGGTTTCAGTGTAACCCTCTTCAAGCTGCCAATTAATTTTTTTTATAAAATCTCCAGAAACTTTGCATGAAATACACTAATAATAACAAACACAAAAATTAAAATAAATATCATAAAACAGAAAAATGCAAAATTTACACAACATGAAAATAACCAGCAAACATGAAGAGCAAACACACACTGGAAGGATGAGCAAAGAAAATAAAATGTTTTGCACGGAAGGTGGCACCGATTAAAGAGTAAAGCTACACAACACACAGATGAGGGGGATGGGAAGGGGGTGGTTTATAAGCAGCGTTCCTACCACGTTATACATAATGGTTCACATTATACATAAAGTAGTGTTCATTTCATGTTATACTGTCAGCTTCCTGTGGGTGATAATAAAAGAAAAGTGAAGAATATTTATATTTGTTTTTAACCCTGTAATAGTTATTGAAAATTAAAATCGTGAAGTAAAACTACCTCACAAGTAACAACAACAATAATAATAATAAATAATAGGTTTATAGAGCACTTTTCATGCTGGTGGCAGCTTAAAGTACTTTACAGACAGGTGATAAAGCTTAACAGTAATAGAAGAAAACTATTAGCAGTCATTTAAAATTATATTTCAATGACACAGATCAGAACTTAAAAAGATAAATACCAAAGAAATGCATAGAATTTTAATTAAAGGCAAAATCAAAGAGATACTTTTTCAAATGTTTCCTGAAATTGTGCACTAAGCATGACTGTCTAATAAAGGTCAACTGAGCTCCACAGTTTGCTGTGTTTTACGGAAGGTGTTTGCAAAAGGTCAGCATCTGCAGATCTAAGATCTCGTGCTAGAACATAAACAGACAGACATTCTGTGATGTAAATGCTACTTTAAGATCATTTAGTGTCTTAAAAACTAGTGGCAGAAGTTTAAACTCTCTCTAAAAGATCCAGGCGGTCAGTGCAGTGTGTAAATGGGGTGATATAAGCTCTCTGTGTTGGTGCTGTGAGGATCCGTGCTGCTGTGTTCTGTACGGGTTCTAGAGGATGGACTGTTTTCTCCAGTAAGATCATTGCAGTGATCGACACTTCTTTTTTATTTAAACATTAACTCAAGTAAACACATTATAGTTTAATTCAACTCAAAAAAGTAATGTCACAGGGGAAAATGGACTAATTTTTTACTTTCCACCTCTGTTGAAAGAAAAAACAAAAAAACAGCACATGTTGATTTAAGCTTGTCTATGCTGGTTCATTTTGGCTCAGCTGGTCACCCAGCATATCAGCATCCAAAACACAACATCTGCTGGTTTTGCTGGTGACCAGCAGTGGTGTCCAAGCTGGATTTTCTAGCAGGGACCTCTGGTAGTGGTAATGAGTAGAAAGAAATCTGTGCTCCACATTTACATATAATTTAAACTGATTTCTGTCAAATACAGGTTCTGATAAACTTTTAATGTATATAAACTCACTAACTTAAAAACTCAGACTTCTCAGACTTTATCACTCACCTCCATATATGCTGTTTATTACTGTCAGTGATCCCTGAACAGTGTTTCCGTCGATCACAGGAGCACAGGTGGTTCCTCCTGTCTCAGCTGTAATGTTGGTCTGGACAGGAGCTCCGTGATCTGGAGTCTGAATTTCCATCTTCAAATAGTCATCTAACCAGAAAGTAAATGCAGGCTGTTCAGACTTCAGTAAATATCTTTCTGCTTTTTCTCTAAAGGTTATTATTGACAGTCTCTTTGCCAAACAGATGCTGCTGAAGACTGGACTTTAACCCGGTCTGGATAGGAAGTTCAACACTTCCTGTCTGGAAAACTGCAGGTGTGCTCACACACTCAGATCACTGGGCGGGACAAGGGACTTTTGTTTCTTCAGCGAGGCCTGGAAGGCAGCACTTCCTACAAGGCAGCACAACACTACTCTGGCCCATTCAGCTCTGAGCCAACCATGCCCAACAGCTAATTAGCATAACATCTAAGTTTTTGAAAACACTCTCAACTACAGTGGAGGATCTTTGGACCCAGTAAGTTGAAATCAATTCAGTCATTTATGTACCTCTCTACACTACAAAGTAAAGACCTTTCTTAATATTTGTATTGTTTTGGTAAAGAAAGAATGTCATATTTAAAGAACAGCTGTGCAACTAGCTTGTATTTAGCTAGTTAGTTTGGCATTGAGTTCTGTTTAGCATGCTAACCTTGGCTAGCTTCAACAACAAATTGAATGTCAGTTTTAATTTTTGTACTCACAATTTAAACAGGGGAATTATGCTTTAGTTACTGCTTACCACAGAGCTGCTAAGAAAAAAGGGAGGCCTCTTGAGCTGATATCAAGCACCAGGTGCCTCAAAGACTGATACAATTCAATGGATACCTTCTAGTAGAGAAATCTTATGCCTGATAGGCTGGATAATAATGCAAAGGGTCTCTCAGGCTGACAGCAATTGGCAAATACTTATGAGTCTGATAAAAAATGAACTGGAAGTCTTCAAGACCGATGGCAAAATTTTTTTTCTGACAGGCAGAAAAGGCTGCTAAAAAAATTGTGACAGCTCCCATGCTACTAAGACAGAAGGTCTCCCTGGCTGATAAGTGCCAGGTACCTGAATGGCTGATTAACAAAAAATTGATACCTTCTAAATAAGAAACTATACACCTCAACATCTGGTAGCTCTTGTGCAAAATCCCACAAGACTGAAAATTAAAATACATGAGCCTCCCAGGCTGTTGACAACTGACAAATATTATAAGGCTAATACACGAGTGGAGGCCTCAAAGTCTGATGGCAATAAACTGAAAGCAGCCAAGCTTTTACATATTAGGCTTTATGACAAGAATTTGAGAAAAGGTACTTTTTAAAAAAAATACCATTTTAAATTCGTGACTGTTGAATTTCTATCCTATTTCTAATAAATGTTGTATATGCTTCTTAGAGTTGCTAGCTAGCTAGCTAACTGCACTTGTGGAAGCCAAGCTAATGTTATCAGGCTAAGTTAACAGCACTGCTGGAAGACCGGCTCAGTTTCAATTAATTTATGCTAACCCACAATAAAGAAAGGCTCAAATCACAGCAAGAGACGTGGAATAATTAGTGTTGGAGTGTCAAAAAAGAAGAAACTAACCAGGTTCTGTGATGTTTGAAGTTGTTAGCTTGCTGGCTAATAGCCTAAAGGCTTCCTACACCACTGACCAGGATTGCTGTTTCTCTCACACAGATTTAGAGGATAAAAGCTTCTATCTACCTCTACCTCTAATCTGAGAGAGGCATGGAGTGTTTGGTGCTGGAGTTAATTTACAGTTAAAATAGCAAGTTAGCTAGTTATTTCAACTGAGGTGTGCTTTGGTAACTAGCTGCCAAATTATTTTACATGCTTAAACTCCTACATCAGACTAATGTTCATGAAATCTCTGTTCTCTCTTCTCTTCATATCATCACTTTACAGAGGTGGGTAAAGTGACAAGTAAGTCTCAAGTCTTGACACTCCCGAGTCAAGTCCCAAGCCAAGACAGTCGAGCCTCGATTCAAGTCTCGAGTTAAAGTCATTACAGGTGAGTCTTATGTCCTCACGTCCTAACCTTCGAGTCCTAAGTAAGTCAGTCTGCCTTCTTCAGCTAATTTAAGCCCATTTCAACACTGAACACCAAAAATAATGGTACGGATGAAATACAGCATGTTAGTACTATGTGGCTGTATAATTTTTTTTACCCTTTCAGATAAAATCTGTTTGTTTTTATAAGTGAAAGCCATGTTGTAGCTTTACAGGAAAAGCCAAAAACTTTAACTTTTGTTGTACGTTAATGTAAAAAGGTTTTATTCCAAGTGAGTTTGGAGAACTTCTGTTGGTCCATTCATCATGAAAATGTAAAGGACTGATGCCGGGTTCAAACCATGTGTAAAAGTAAAAATCAACAAAAAGGCAGTATATGTGTATATAAGTGACGTGACGATAGTTTTCCTCAGAGTTCAAGTCATTTAGTCCAATGAATGATGCCATACTGTCTGATGCCTGAGTACTGATGCTGAGGTCTGAAGATGTCCTAACATGTACACCGTAGACTCGCCTGGCGTGAATTAACATATTTGTTTAACTTGAAAACAAAAACACAAACTGGGACATTAAAAATAAATTGGCAGATGGCACAGATGTTTGTTTCCATTTGCCTTTTTATTCTGACACTTAAAAGGCATCCACGCTAAAAACTGAATCGCAAACTGTCACTTTGCTATTGATTTATTTATTTATAAATTTTGCATTTTCATATTGTCCGATATGCAGCCTATTGCTAGGGAAAAAAATAATGACATAAACATTGTATTTTGACTTTAGTTTTGACACATATTATATAATTTAATGAAAAAAAAAGGCAAAGCCAAAGTGAAGCCTGGATATTCTTTTCTCTATTAGCTTTTCCATTTTAGATATGACCATGAAATACCAGAATAATGACTAAAATGAAATGACAAATAGCTGTTTTAAATTTGTTTTTATTTTTGTCACAAACGACTCGTGCTTTTATGAAAAATTAAATTGTAAATGTATGTACTTCATGTCATTTTCAATTTTGGTAGTACATTTGTGCCAATGTTTGCAAAAAGAAATAGCAAATTAGCTAATGTTGCTGCCTCTGATATACAGCCACTGTGCTGTTTAGACAACACAATAAAGCAGGAATTATGCATTTTGTAGTGTTTCTGCATGAAACTTTTAGCATACCGGTCGATTCTGAGAGTCAATTCTAGTTTAAAATAAGGTTCTTCCCCCTCACTTACAACAAGAATCCCACTAAAAATGGGGAAACACTGATTTAAAAGTAAAGGTGGGATAATTTGGAAAAGACAAAGTAGTGCCAAATTTAAAATACTATCAAAGACTAATTTCACATATTGTGCTTTATTAAATATAATGAAATAGGACTAATTATACTCTCTTTGTAATCAAACAGGCAGTTCGGAAATTTGCGTTTTGAAGTACTGACACTGTTAGATTATTGCCCAACGCTTTGTTTCAGTTAAGTGTCAGCAAAAATGATAGTGGAGTTCATTACAGCGTGTATTCTCTTTATCATTGTAACTTATTTGATTAATTGTATTTAATGATAGCTAATATTACTGGCATTAGTTTGTTTTTGTGCTTTTTCTACTCTGTCTCAATTTGAAACAGCTAAACAACAGGTACGTTCAGTCAACCAGCACTTTCTCAAAGTTCAAGCAAAGGGTCAATATAAGTGCAACAAGTGCAAAAATGGTGAGAATAGCAGTTTTAAAAATGAATGAAATATTTTGTGTGGTTCATTGTATAACTGGTGTGTGCAATAATGTGCAGCTCAACTGCACCCTTGACACTCCAAAACCCTTTGCGTTGTGTTACCGGTGGAGAACAAGAAGACTGGACACACTCAGAATCAGAATCAGAATCAGAATCAAGCTTTATTGGCCAGGTATGCTTACGCATACAAGGAATTTGGTTTTGGTTACAGGAGCTCACAGTGCACAGTATCAGACAGACATTTACATGTAGTGAATAAAATAAAATAAAACATGCATTCCTACCATCACTCACTCAAACACACACACACACAGTCATACCTGTAAACCTTACATTGTGCAAAGTATGAGTCTAAAGTTAAAGTGCTGAGTGCAGCAGCAGTTAAAGGGGTGTATTGTGGCAGAGAAAAGGATCAGTGAGGTAACAGTCAGATAAGTGGGGTAATAAGGCAGGTAAGTAAGATGCTAGAATAAAACACGGGTTTCAGGCGGCAGTTCCAGAGGATGGAGTTGACTCAGATACTATATACCAGTATTCTGCCACACGACTGGAATTTTATTCTCTCGCTCTCTTTCTCTGCATACAAAATGAAAGGCAAAAGCACAGCACTGAATGAATTCTCTGTCTCTCACATGTACAAAGGCTGTGAGGAAAAAAGAGGCCATTTAAGCCTGAATGGCAGCTGTAAGTTACATTCATTGGTTTAAAAAATCGCTGCCCTCGATAAAACACTCTCTTACGCTAATAGTAGTCACAGAATCAAAGTTGTCTTACTCTTAGTAACATTAAACATCTTAAATAAGCATCTGAATGCATGAAAAGTGCTTTGAACAACCTTAAAACAACTTTTCTCTACAGAGAGCTCTAAAAACACCTACCTATCCTCTCAGTTATTGCCACGAACTCAGTACAGTGAGCAGTCCAACAACAATAACATCGCCAATCGAGCCTCGACATTTCAAAATAATGAATGACTTCAAATAAACTATCCCTGATGTAAAATCAACCAAAAAAAGGAGAAAATAAATAAAAGATATTTACCAAAATAATGGACAAAAGCAGAGAAGGATTTTATGTGAAATAAAATAAAAAATAAATCTTCTTCCACATCCATTACAATTGCACCATATTTTAGGAGTTATATTTTTTATGCCATATCATGGTCAAAATATCTAAATATCAAAATATCTAAAAAGCTGGGGTTGTTTTTATGCCTTTCATGAAATATTTCATGTTCCGTTACCCACACTGTGCTGATTGTATGTACATGTATATGTGCAGATTCAAAACACTGCAAACCGTTCATTTCAGTGGGTAGTACAAATGGAATCAGAACTTCATGGGTCAAAAATTGCAGTTCATAAAAGTTCATATACATTTTCTATCAAATTAAAAAAACTATAACAGCTATGGCTAGCTAAATGACAGGCAGAGTTCAAGTACTATGCAAAGCCAGATACAATAACAAAGGTAACTAATGACTCATTTCTGTTTGGTCGAGCTCTTCCAGCGTGCTTCGCTGTATGATTTTACATAAACTCACTTGTAGGTTTACTTTAATAAACATGGCTCATCTTTGCATGTTAATAGACATCCACAGAAATAACAGACATATTTCAGCAGTAAAGGAACAAGACACACATTAGGATGTAGAAACTCATTGTGTGTGTGTGTGTGTGTGTGTGTGTGTTTGTGTTGTCCTCTCAGTGTTGGAGACTTATAACTTGTCAGGTATGTTTAATGCTGTGAGACAGAAAACAGACAAAACAATCAGATGAGAGCAAACCCATTACTAAGGGTTTCAGAAAATATCAATACACTCCAGCATCGCAATATTATGTTTTATGATATTGGATTGATTCACAGTATCAATTTTTAATTAATAGTTTACATGTAAAGATTTGTGGCAGACATTTATTCATAACAGACATTTTGTGTTGTGTTTAAACCGTGTTGTTTATTAAATAGCGATGATGTGAAGATGATGAAGAAGTCTCCGCTGACACCGTCTTGCTCATATAAGATGTTTATTACAAAGTAAAACAGTATCATATCAAGCACTATAAAGTACTTGAGAGGGGATCCGTGCCAATTCTAAAGTGTTCCCCTCCAGAACAATATAGCCAATGGCTTATATAGGGTGCTTGTTTTCAAAAAAGGGAACGGAACATATGGCCCTTTTTAAAATGATCTCATCTGTCTGGAACTAAGAGAGGAAGGGAAAGAGGCCCACCCCCTATGGGGCCTTTGGACCAGGGGCCCCCTAACTTAAACATTCCAAACCTGCAAAAACAGAACACATGGAACTCCTAGATACTACAACATCAACTTATACTGAAAGTTAAGAGTGTTTTTGACTTCTTCTGTAAGGCCACTCTTTTAAAGATACTACAACCGCTAGATAGCAGTGTTGTTATCTGTCTTCAGCCATTAGAGTCTTCCACTTCAATGTAAACACGTAGTGTAAGGGTGCACCCTAATTTGTGGGGGGCAAAAGGATCTGAAAATATATAAAAGAAGACTTTTTTGGATTTTTTTATGAAATGATCTAGAACATTTTTAAATTTTGTGTAGGCTATTTCCAGAGGTGGGAACAAGTCACTAAGCTGCAAGTAATAAGTAAGTCTCAAGTCTTCACACTCAAGTCCTGAGTCAAGTCCCAAGTTGAGTCTTGACTCAAGTCCTGAGTCAGTGAAAGTGAGTCTCAAGTTGAGTCCCAAGTCAATAGTCCTAATCTTCGAGCTCTAAACAAGTCAGTATGCATTCTTTAGCTAATTTAAGGCCATAACACTGAATAATGGTGACAGTACTGTAGCCTTTTAATGACAGTATGTTATACCAGTGTATGGCTGCAAATAATTTTTATTTATTTATTTTTTCCCTTCCAACTAAAAGATCAACAGGACAGGCATACTTTATACACAAGGAAAACAAACATTAACTTAATTTTAAAAATTATATTTGAAGATAACTTTTGGGAACATTTGGCACACAGGATTAAAATAAATGCTAGCTCAACCCTAAACCTAGCTTAGCCAACAAAAAACAACTGCTAGGTCAAACGAATTTAGCTAACAACAGAAACCAAAACAATCAAGCTGAACAAAATTCACAGACAAGACAGTAAAATGATGGTGAATGTACAAAACTGAAGTTGACTTTACTTCACCAGCTTATTTGAATTTTCTGTTCTGAAACAAATGAATTCACATGCTAAACAAGAGTCCCATCTGCAGCCAGACTCTCCACTTTTCTTCAACTTTGGGTCTCAAACCTTCCCGAGTCGTGAGACTGAATTCCGAGTCAGAGTCCGAGTCATTGGTGTTGAAGCCAAAGTCGAGTCCTAAACATGTTTTCGCATCTAGTTCACTTGTTAACGTCTGCAGCAGAGTTTGGGTTTTTGTAACATTATACACTTGTATGCACAAGTTTGGGTACTCCTTACACACATATGTAAGTTGTAACAGCTAGGAGCTCTGCCAGATTTGAGTAATCAGATTTCTTTCAGATATTTAGAAAATTTTTATTATTAAACAGAAGAGTTAGATGTACCTACTGCCACTGACTCCAAAGCAGCAGGAGCACTTGAAGTACAGAAGTACAGGCTGTAAGTAAGACCTGAGACGGAGCTAAATTTGAGGATTGTTAGTACGATTCTATGCATGTGCATTGAACAAAACTGTGGAAGAAACATCAGTATATACTATTTTATATAGTGGACAAGGTTGCAAAAACTTGGGGTAGTTTTTCTGTAAGGATTAGTAAAGGTGAGCATGGTTATGTGCTGCTTATTAACAGCAAGGTGAGGAAGGAGCAATTTGTGATGGTATTAATATATTATTTACATTTGTGGTGTAAAGGAAACGACATTTGCTTGCATATATACTCTAGAAGGGCAGAGTTTATGCTTGTGTTTCAATTGTTGCATGTTTGTTTCTGCAGATATTTATTTGGAACTTTCTGGAATGTAGAACTGATTTGAGTTTCTGTCTAGAATTCTCTGTAGAATCTAGAAATGTTAATTGTAACTAGAAAGGTTATGTAACTGTTCCAAATTCAGTATAACTGAGAAGGTTTTACAACTAGGATCAGGCCGTAACAGAAAATGAGAGTGGGCGCTCTCCCCAGACCTGCTGCCAGACCAAACAGTGGACACTACTGAAACCAGAAAACTGCAGGTTTATTTAAGTGTTCATCAAAGTATGCAAGTTTGCAAGAGGCAAAAGAGGTGATGGCTTCAAGGACGAAAGTATGTCAAAATAACAAAAAACTACTAATTATTACTAAAAAACTAACCTCGAAATAAAGGAATCAAAAACATGTAAGATTACCCTAACATCCTACACTAAAAACAAGAAGTGGTGGACGAAGTACACAAATCATGTACTTGAGTTAAAGTAGAGATTCCAAAGGTAAAATATTACTCCAGTAAAAGTAGAAGTTCCTCCCTTTGGACCTCCACTTGAGTAAACGTACAAAAGTATTTGCCTTCAAATGTACTTAAGTATCAAAAGTAAAAGGACTAAAAGATTACTTTAAGATTTACTTTTAGAGAGAACTCTAATGTCCTATTATCATTTTTGTAACAAGAATCTGCTTCATTAACTCATTTTGGGTGAAAATACTCCAGTGTCTCTCTTGGTAATCCGGTCTTTTAATAGAATGTCATTAATTAGTGACACTGATGTCTATTAAAATTATCATAAGCACAAAACACTGAAGGCGAACAGTTTCCATCAGGTAGAACTGAGTGGCTCTGAAATAACTTTTTGCAAACAAGCAAAGTTTCAGTTTAAGATTTATTTGCAACTTAGTTACAAGTTTAAGTTTAATTAAAACCTGCTTTAAACACAGATTCTCAATGAGTTTTCCTTTAATATACTGCATCTGTAGGTCTCTGTTCATAAACATAAACTAGCCAAAACAAATTTACTACAAAATGAAATAGTGTTTGTATAAATTCAGAAAAAAGACACGTCAGTCACAACTGCATATGAATACATATTTCTATATTGTGGTCTATTTACACAAAGTTAGGTCAGTTCATCATTTATGTTGAATAGACTCCCCCAAAATTTTACGCTGCTGCACTGATGTTGAACTGTGTGCTTGCACTGGGTCGGTATGTCCAACAGGTCAAAACAAGCTCAAAACTAAGTGCTGATTGGTGTTCTTGCTTTGTGCTTCTTTCATTATGACATGTTACGTTTTTATACACACATAAACCAAAATGTTTTCTCATAATGTAGTGGAGTAAAAAGTAAGATATTTGACTTTGAAATGTAGTGGAGTGAAAGTAAAAAGTTACCCAAAATGGAAATACTTCAGTAACGTACAGACACACAAAAAAAAATACTTAAGTACAGTAACAAATTACATTTACTTTGTTACTGTCCACCACTGAAAACAAGGCAAGGTACAGCAAATTTATTTATGTAGCACCTTTCATACACTGCTGTCATTCAAAGTGCTTTACAAATGAGAAAATACAGAGTAAACTTGAATAGAAAAAACAATTAAAGGCAACATTAAAAACATAATGAAAATATGATTCAAACAATAAATTTAAAAGAGAAAGTCATTAAATTAAAAATTAGCATAGTTAAATTAGATTAGGATTTTAAAAACACAGGAGAAAATTTTATTAAAAATAAAATCTAACAGAATCTAACAATCAAATTGAAGCAAAGCGAAGCAGAGCGAAGAGTGTTGGGGCCGGTCTGGACAGGTCCAGACTTCTGGGTCAGATCAGAGGGAAGAGAGTCCTGAATGTCTCCCAGGTGGTGGCTTGGTGACCTGTTTTATATGGATGGGCAGTGGTCAATCACATACCTGCACACAAAGCAACACAAGAGGGAACATTCAAAATAGCAGCACAAGGCACACGAAGGGAATATTATGACCAGGGGTCGTAAAAATGAGCAGCACCTATAGAACTCAGAATTAGAGTGAGGAGCAGTTGCTTGACTTGAATAATCATGTTGTCAGCAGTGCTTGGCTTCCAGTGTGTCCCAATTCAGGGGCTGGATCCTTCAAAGGATGCGGTCTGCGAAGGCATGTCCTTCAAAGGCTGCTTAGACCTGTGAAAGCTGAACCGAAATGATACGGTCTGCTCTCTGTTTACATCACAGCACTGCTCTTCCTGCCCTTACTGCTGCGCCACGCAATGCCGCTCCTGTCAAGTTCTTTTAAAGTTCTTTAAAGATGGAGTTAATTTAATTTTAGTTGTTTATTTTTTCATTTATTAGAGCTGGAGATGCTTCACCACTGGCTACTGATGAGATTGTATTTCTTAACATTTGTATTGTTAACCATTCGCCTTAGTTTAAATCCAATATTTATATTTATATATATATATTTAATTTATATTTAAAAGTGAACTCTTCAGCTGCCGTTCGCATCTCTGTTGATGCCGCCATGTTCTCGAATCCTCACCGGCACACAATGAACCTTGGGGTATGTTGGCTGGTGAAGGATGCACCTGTTGGATCCTTCGTTGCCATGGAAAAGAAGGACACATTTCTCGGCCGCATGTGAACGAGCCTTCAAAATAGCCTAGTCGCGTCGCTGTGATGCAATCAGCCTTCAAATGAAGCCTCCGAAGGACACAGTCCCTGAATTGGGACACACAGTTACTCTAAAAATGCCCATAATCATTATATTTTTTTTTCAATTTATTTTTATTGTGTTATTGTAAGTGAATGTATGTGTATGTGTGTGTAAAGTCACTAAGTCAATCACTCACTGTACTTTCTCCAGTTTACAATGTGGATCCTCCAGTAGATCAGAGAGCTCCTTCACTGCTGAATTTCCTGGTTTATTCCACTTCAGGTTCAGTTCTCTCAGATGTGATACGCGGTTTGATTTCAGGGCTTTAACCAGAGTACCACCTTTATCTGTAATCCTGCATTCAGAGAGTCTGCAGAGAGAAGGAGAAAACACCTCACACTTACAGCTCAACAAGCACTTGAGAAAAATGGTATTACAGAGCAAAAGAGATTCACTGTGCACTGCTGTTTGTCAGGATTAAGATTAATTATTTTAATATTTGAGTTAATGAACAGTTATTTAACAGACGTCCACCTCTAAAAGCTCCCTCACAGAAAGTTATTATATGAAATGGTTATGAATTCACTGCCTGATGTCTGAGACATTGTTTTATGATAGTTTTGATGATTTTGGCCTAAAACATACCTTTAAAATCTATTCATGGAGACACATGCAGGGCATTGTACGGAAAACCACTCTTATATTATTTTGCAATTTACTTTCATGGAACTAACTATTTTTATGTTGTACAGATGGCAACCACTGATTCCTGTCACCACCACTGCAAAGAAATCAGCAAGTTTACACAGAAAGAGTTCTAAAGGTTAAGTACTTGGCCTTGATGTTTATCATTGCTCTCACTGCATATAATGCATATTCTATGCATTATAGCTGGACTTCATACTGCTTCTGCTATACAACACTATGATATGTGGTTTGGCATGTCCAGTATGTGGTGGCATGACATAGTGGTCTATCATGCATATGAACATACTCTAGAAAGATTAAGTATATTCCAACCTGTTCTAGCACCATTACAATGGTCATTTAATTTAGAGCTGATTTCCTTTTCTTTTTTACTGGTTTGTAAATTAATCAATGTTTTAGCAACTTCATACATTTCAGAGAGTCTGACAGATGTTTGATCCAAAACAACATAGAATCAACATGGTGTTTCTGAAACATCCTGAGAATCAAGCCCTTGAAAAGTGAAGTCAGCCTTTTGTTTTTATTGAACAAGACTGTCCTCACTGCCTTTAAATATTAATCAAGCACTGCTATTTACTAGTTTTGTTTAAAGCTCAAAACATTTTCACCCTTTACTATATTAGTTTTTTTGTATTTTTAAGTATTTTTTTATTTGAGAGCTTTTGGAGATAAAGATAACTTGTTTTTGTCTCTGTATACTCATTCACTCTAAAGCAAATTGTGATCTCACACAAAAAAGCAGTTCATAAGGATTGCTAAGGAGCTTTAAAACTTGTAGAAACCTTACACATCGGATACTTTGTGTGTGAGTGTGTGTGTGTGTGTGTGTGTGTGTGTGTGTGGAGACAGTAACATACTTTAATTTCTCCAGTTTACAGTGTGGGTCCTTCAGTAGATCAGAGAGCTGCTTTACTGCTGAATCTCCTGGATAATTCTTGTTTAAATTCAGTTCTCTCAGCTGTGATGAGGGGTTTGATTTCAGAGCGTTAGCCAGAGCAGCACAGCCTTCCCCAGTAATACTGCACACAGCCAGCCTGAAGAGAGATGTATAAAAAATTACCTCACAAGACCCAGCAAGCACTTGAGAAAAATGATATGCCGGATCAAAATATAGATTCACTGCGCACTGCTCTTTGTCAGGAGCAGTATTAACAAACACTGCTGTATTAGAGTATACATTATACATTAGGTATGTAAAAACATAAATCGAGTGTAATTAGTAGTATGAATCAACAGAATTCCCCAAAAAAATTTTACTGATATGCAATACTTTTAGTGTATGAGCTTACAAATGTGTACTGTAACAAAGTTTGTTTTTCTTCTTATGCATACTTTTTTCACAATACTGTGATAACTGTAAACCGTGATACAAGGCAAAAAAATTATCATGATCCTATATTTTGATATCAGCACGTGACTACTTCCTATCATTCTTGTACAAGTTAATCTTGGTTTTACTTGTCCAAAGAATCTTGTTCCAGAACTGAGCAGGCTTTTTTTTAGATGTTTTCTAGCTAAGTCTAATCTGGCCTTTCTGTTCTTAATTGATATCAGTGGTTTGCATCTTGAATTTAATCATTGGTGTTCATTGATGATGTGACTGATGATAGAGGATGCAGGATGAACTCTGAAGTGTATAGAGCTATACTTTCTACACAGATTCAGTCAAATGCTGCAAAACCTATAGTACGGTGCTTCACAGTGTAGATGTATAGTAACCTAAAACATGCCCAAAAAGCAGCCCAAGTTCTGAAGTCAAAGAAATGGATTTTTCCATTTGAGTCATTTGACCTCAACTTAACTGTGCATGCTTTTCACTTACTGAAGACAAAACTGAAGGCAAGAAAAGGGCCACAAACAAGCAGCAACTGAAGGCAGCTGCAGTAAAGGCCTGACAAAGCAGCTCAAGGGAGGAAGTTCAGCATGTGGTGATGTTCATGGGTTTCAGACTTCTGGCAGTCATTGACTGTAAAGGATTTGCATCCCAGTATTAAAAATAATCCTTGTATTTATAATGTTAGATTGTACAATTATGTTTGAGCCTGTTAAAATGGAGGGACAATGTACAAAATGGCCATAGTTCTTAAATGGGTAATGCAGTATTTTTGTTAAACCCCTTGGATTAAAGCTAAAATTCTACACTTCAATCACATCCCGACTCCTCATTTAAAATCCATTGTGGTAGTGAACAGAGGCAATATTACAAAAATTGTATCACTGTCCAAATACTTGAGGACCTGACTGTAGCTGGATAAATTCATAAATAATGTTGAAATAAACTTATTAAATTGATCTGGCAAGAGTTTGAAAATGCACTGCAATATATTCTATGCAGCATACCTGTATTTTTTACTGTGCCTGCTACACAACACTAAGTGGTGTGGCTTGACGTGTCCAGTGTGTGGTGGCCTTATAGCACTCTGAACTCATAAAAAACAGTTCCACCTGATAGGCAGCTTTAACACTTTAAAAACCTCACACATCTGATATGCTGTGTAAGTGTATATGAGAGAGAGTATGTTTCAACAATTAAAATATATTATGTGGTTTATATTATTTATTTTATTTGGCATTTTGTTGTTTTGTTACAATATTCTGCTGTTAAAGGCAAGCATGCTGATAAACATTACTTTTTGTTTTTGTAGACAGTAAGTCAGTAACTCACTCTAGTGTCTCCAGTTTACAGAGTGGATCCTTCAGTAGATCAGAGAGTTCCTTCGCTCCTGAATCCTTTAGTTCATTGTTGTTCAGATTCAGTTCTCTCAGGTGTGTTGAGGGGTTTGATTTCAGAGCGTTAACCAGAGCAACACATCCTGTGTCTGTAATGCTGCAGTCAGACAGACTGCAAAGAGAGGAAAAATATGACTTTCACGTAAGTGCTTTAGATATTTGTACTTTGTTCACTGCTGGTCACTGGTAACAAACTGTTCTGCAGATATTGAGACTTTCTGAGCCAGATAAATGTTCTATATTGGTTTGTAAACTACACAGCATCCCATGTTTTTAACAGTGTTGTTGAAGCAGTTAGTATCAAATAAATGAGAAAACCTCACATTAATGATTGGTAAACCACTTTTTTCCTTTAAATCTGGAAGTTTTGACAATTTGCTGCCCCATACTGTTATTTTTGTGTCATGAAAAAAATCCTTTATATTTACACAGGTACTTAGGAGTTACTAAATTCATACAGATACTATAAGTACTACTGTACAATACATGTTTACTAATATTAAGCAATGCTAATGTTAACACAAACACAACATCGCAAAGCACAGTAAGTGCAAAGCACAGTAAAGAACAAAGCAAGAGCAAAAAAACAGCAAAAGTATTGCTGTATGCTATTTACAGATGTATAAATAGAAGAAGTAAATATATAAAATATAGTGAGAACCATAAAAATGTGCAGTACAAGGATAAGTAAGTAAAATTGCATAAATATTATGCAGGCAACAATGTAGTGGTTTAGGTTCATTCTGCTGTGGTGGTTTAGCTCCTGCATTGCTTTACTGTTGCTCACACTTCTCAATTTATTTTCATTTTATTTTAAACAAAAAGGACCCTAAAAGAGAAGAATACAATCATACAAGCTTGAGTTCCTGCACTGATAGATGCTGAATGGATTAAAAAGTGTAACTGCAGTTCTAGAGTTACTCAGTATGTATTTTTTGAGCTGATATGTTAGATATGTTAACTTCTGCTCAAGTTGGTTTTTGGAAAGGTACACTATATTGACATAAGTGCTGGGACACACCTCTTAACCTTTGAATTCAGGTGTTTCATTCAGTTTCATTGACACAGGTGTATAAAATCAAGCACCTAGCCATGCAGTCTGCCTTTACAAACATTTGTAAAAGAACGGGTCATTCTAAAGACCTCACTGAATTCGAGAGTGGTACTAAAAGGACACCACTGTTCTAATAAGTCAGTTTGTGAAATTTCTTCCTTCTTAGATATTCAACAATTAACTGTGAGTAGTATTATGTAAAAGTAGAAGCATTTAGAAGTCACAGTAACTCAGCTATGAAGTGGAAGACCACATAAAGTTACAGAGCGGGGTTGGTGAGTTTCTGTCTGTTTGTAACACTCTTTGAGAAGTATTGCCAACCTTGTCTGTTGCATTCTGCACATTCTTTTCCTGATTGTGTCTTCTGTGTTTATGATCTTTTTCCAATGATCAATTCTCTCTTTTGGACAACGCTTTGGATGCACTCTTTAGTTTGTCACTCATGTTTGTCTTTTGGCTATTCATGATTTTGATCTAGTTTACTTCATATTAGGTAAGGATAATTGATATAGTATTGATTGAGCATGTCAACAAATTCTTAACTTAATACAAGTAAACATTATTGTAAAGTGTAACCAATTTACACCACATGAAATTTGAATACAAAAATTGAATGAATTTTTATCAGACTACAGAATACTTAACTGAAATTTTAAGGTTTATAAGCGAGCAGTATACAATGAAATATTATTAAGCACTTTAGGCTTTACAGCTGCCCACAGAGACAAACCAGTGTGTATTATTTGACTAGTCGACTAGTCAATGTTGCTATCACATATATAATCACCCTTTTACTTACTCTGTCACACATACAAACACACAGTACTGAAAAAGGATTTCCAGATGTTATATGAGTAACTTACTGTAGTGTCTCCAGTTTACAGTGTGGATTCTTCAGTAGATCAGAGAGCTCCTTTACTCCTGACTCTCCTGGATAATTCCAGCTTAAATCTAGCTCTCTCAAGTGTAATAAGGGGTTTGATTTCAGAGCTTTAATCAGATCTGCACAGCTTTGACCTGTAATACTGCACATTTCCAGGCTGTAGAGAGAAGAAAAACTCATCACACTTACAGCATAACACACACATGCACACCTATTTTAAGTCATCTGGCAGGATCACCTATCAGGGATCAGCTTACCCAAGCTACTGATAGTTGGTCCCTCCCCTTTTCTACATCTGGGCTGCATTTAGCCTTGACAAAACATAGTAAAATGTTTATTTAAATGGAAACGGTGGTGTGTTGAACACACTGTTGTATTTTGCAAGGATTGCAACTATGGCAGCTGAAAAGGCCATACTTGTTCAAGCATATTCTATTAAACAAACATTTACACTAAAATACTTACAAGAAACATGTCTTACAGTGTTTTCAGGTGTTGTGTACACTGAGTTGCAATGGCCCCATTTGTAGAGGACTTTATTAGAATCTATTGTTTGCACTGCCTTTATAATTTGGCAGTGTTTATATGCATGTCACTGCTGATTGGGTAACACCTCTGACACACCTATCAAATGAGAGAAAATGTACCTCAAAGCTCGTTTCAAATCATTTGGACAAAACATGTTGTTCAACCAGGAAGCCATGGCAAAAAGGGATGCAAAACATTTTGAGATTGAACGTGCCTGTGATATCATGTTTCTTCATTACTCAGCCTACTTATACACTCTCACCCCTTGTGAGGTATTACCTCTCCCTGTGTCATTCCTGAAGAGTTTTCACTTGGATACATTTTTCTGTTTTTTAGGATTTCTGCCTGTGTTTGAAATTGATCTGGATTTTACCCATTTGCTCTATGCTGCTTCTGCCATTCTCCAGTTGCTTGTTTAAGATAGTGTTTATTGTTTGTATTTTAAACATCATTAAACTCTGCATTGTATACTTGTGTCCAAGTGTTACAGAATATCTAACCACAATGGATGCAGCAGTTTATCTGAGGTAGGATCTGACCATAGTAAAGTCATACAAATAATGCAACAACTAACTGAACTCAGCTCTGTTTTTAAGGTTTGTTCTCAATGCCTGGATGCAGTAGTACCTAGTGCACCTAGTCTTTCTGATGATGCCAAGATTACCAAACACTGGTATTCCCCTCAAATGCTGTCAGGTCTGAGGCTCTTGCAGAGAATGAGTGGTTTGAGTGCAGGAAATGGGCTTGGAAATAAACCCATGCCCGTCTCAGTCTGGCTGAATGTCACCAGAAAAAGCAGGTGGACAAATGATGAATCAACCAGTTGATTTACTGTTTGCAGTTGCTCCCCCATTATAAAGTCTCACCCAGCTTTCATGTCTCCATCCTCAGGCTGAAGATCCCTGGTCCACTATATGATGCCTCCCCCAAGTGGCTCCACTTCCTTTGTTGGACATTGATGGAATCACTACTTACAGAGTTAATTTCATCCTTCACTCTCAGCAAAGAGGGGTGCATCCAATATCTAGTGGACAGGGAGGGGTATGGCCCCAAGAAGTGGTGCTAAGGTCCAGCCTCTGACATCCTGGACCCATCCATAATCATAGATTTTCATGGTCACAGGCCCGATTGACCCACTCCTAGACCTCAGGGCTGCCCCACCGCACTGCTAGACATGCATAAGGAGAGGGTTCTGTCATGCCCTCAGGCAGAACTACCTGTCAGAGATCAGCTTCCCTGGATCATTGATAGTTGGCCCTTCCACTTTCAGACACCAGATTCATTTTTCTTCATTACTCAGCCTTCTTATACACAGATTCTTGCCTGCACTCCTTGCAAAGTATTGTCACTTTTTCATTTTTGAGCCATTTTTTACTTGTGTCCAATTTTGGAAATTTCTGCCTGTATTGGATCTGTATTTTGCCTTTTAGTTTTTTGCTGCTCTTTCCCTTTTAAGTTGGTGTTTGATGTTTGGATTTTAAACATAATTAAACTTGCATCTGCATTGAATACCTGTGTCCGAGTGTTAAATTAGTTTTCAATCTCAAGTAAAGCTGTTATGTTTTCATGTACATGTAAGTTAAAAATCTAGAATCAAGCTTATGTTCTGTTGTAAATGATTGGTAGTGAACTTACATTCAGTAAAGCAAGATTTTGCTTACTGTATACAGCACAATTTGGAAGGACTAAGTATGTTAATTGTATGGAAATTTAATTAGGGAAATGGGAAGAGCCACTTATTCAATCATAGGCCTCCAATGGGAGCATGGGTTTTGGTGCTGGTGGTGTCATGATGAAAAGCCCAGAGGGGCCTGCAGCCTTTGCCAGACCTGTGCAATAGTCTATGAAACTGATGTCAAAGGTGCCAGGAAGACATTATCAGTCTCATCTTAATAAGTACACCAGCTCTCCTGCTTCTGTGGAGGTACCAGAGATGGCAGGAGTAGAGCTTAAGTGAAGAGGGACCCAAGACAATGCCACATTTAATGATCCGACTCCTCACAGAAGATAATTTGAAATGGATGCCAATAGGACTGGGATTGGTGCTGTCCTACTGCAAGAGGACACAATAGTAGATCAACCACCCAGTCAAAACTTTTTTCTAAAAGGTTCACCCATTCTCAGTCAAATTACTTTGCTATTGAGAAAAAAGACTCTAGCTTTGTTATATTGATTACAACAGATTGAGATTTCTGTCTGTTTGAGCTCTCCAAATGCTATTGTGTACAGTGACGATAATTCTCTGCTGTTTTTTAAGAGAATGTTTAATGTCAACCAGCATTTATTGAGGTGGCCTTTGCTCACTAAGAGCTATAATCTGGATATTTGCCCAAGGTCAGGTTTTTCTGTTTGTTTTTGTTGCCTAATTGGTTGCTGTCACCCAATAAAAGGCATTTAGATTTTTATTTTTAGCCCTCAGCTTAGCTTTGTAGCCTGTATTTTTGATAAATATCTAAAGCTTGTTTATGCTAATATCTTGTTGTGGACCAGAACACCAGCTGAGTATAGTGTATTGTATGATCTTGAAATAGTTGCCTTGTTCGCGAAACATCATTTGGCCTAGTAATTTTGATAGGGCCTCATCAGTTTTAAATCTGACTTTGATCTCACTAACGAAAAATATTGCACAGAGGCCCATTCTAATTAATTTAAGTACTGGTAAAATCTTTAACCTAGACATCTTATCAGTGTTTCACATATTAAAATTGAGCAAACTCTCGGTCAAACTTGATAATATTAATTAAATATTAATTGTATACTAATATTAATTATTACCTATATTATTAACTATATTAATTAACAAAAACAGGTGTCAATACTTGGACAAGCAAGAGGGAATGAAAGAAAAAAAAGCAATGAACGAGGAGTTTTCAAAACAAGAGTTCAGTAAGTAATTAAAAACTACAGAGAAAATGGGACCCCAACCACCTGCAGGACCTGGTAGACCAAAAACAGCCCCCCCCCATCAGACAAACAGCACAAATCAAACTGCTTCAGATCTGAAAACATCCACAGGTGTTACTTTCTATCCTTCCACTATGGGTATGAAAGGATGTGTAGCTGTCAAGAAGCCCTTACTAATATATACATACCTAATTGCAAAAACAAGCAACAATTAACAGGCATAAATATAAGATTTTAGTTCACAGTTTTATTATCATTATTATTATTATTATTTTTGCCTAATTAAAAAATAATTTGTTTTATTCTTTTTATTAAAAGTGCATTAAAATGTGCAGATGTGTGTTCTCTGAGGATGTGTTAATCACACAGAACATGAGCAAAACATATAATGTAATTTGATCAGGGGCTACTTTTTTGACAGGGCTATCAAAAACTTTTTACATTGATCAGGCCTGGGATATACTGAGATAATCAGTAACTCACTGTAGTTTCTCCAGTTTGCAATGTGGATCCTTCAGTAGATCAGAGAGCTCCTTTACTCCTGAATATCCAGGATTATTCCAGCTCAGATCCAGCTCTCTCAGATTTGAGGGGTTTGATTTCAGAGCTTTAACCAGAGCAACACAGCCTTCCTCTGTAATACTGCAGTGATCCAGCCTACAGAGAGAAGAAAAACTTCTCACACTTACAGCTCAACACACACACACACACAATATTTATTAAGTGACCCTTACTAGTCCCACAACAGGGAAATTTCACCTCCACATTTGACCCCGTCTGTGCAGTGAAACACCACATACACACTAGGTAATGGACACACACTAGGTGGCAGTGACCACACTTGCCCGGAGTGGTGGGTAGCCCTATCCACAGCAGTTGGGGGTTAGGTGCCTTGCTCAAGGGCACTTCAGTCATGTACTGTCAGCTCAGGGGATTGAACCAGCAACCTTCTGGTCACAGAGCTGGTTCCCTTACTTCCAGCCCATGACTACAATGACCAACAATTAGAGGAACAATTGGAGCAACTATTTCAGGCCACAAAATAGAAAGCATATATGCTGAATGACCACTTAAAAAAACACCTCTTTATTTCTACACCCATTGTCCATGTATCAGCTCCACCTAACATTTAGGTGCACTGTGTAATTCTACAGTTCTACTGTAATTCTGTTCTTCAATGGTCAGCACCCCCATAGAACCACCACAGAGCAGGTATTATTTGGGTGGTGGATCTTTCTCAGCACTGCAGTGACACTGGTGTGGTGGTGGAATGTTAGTGTGCTGTGCTGGTATGAGTCTTTTGCTATGTTTTTGTCTTGCCATCTGGTGTTGAACTGGTGTACTAGGGTGAACAGCTCATTAATTTTTTTATGGCTCTGTCAGACTAAGATTTCCTTACAGCTGAACTGGCAGATGTCCAATTTTGATTAGCCAGTCAGTGCCAGGCAGCAAAATAACAATGCTGTTCATTTGCAAAATACCTAAATTTCACATTTTGATGGCTAAAAGTGTACACTATTGTAAAACACAAATGCACAGACCTACATGCACCTAGGACAGAGCATTCAAGGGACCATACATTTTCACAGCACATATCATCTACGAACATGGTCCTTACCATCTCTACAAATAGTGAAACAGTGAAATATTTATTAATGAAAATACTTACACTGCTTTTCTGGATGCTTTGACCACTGGCTAGCAGTCTCTGAAGACATTCCTCTGATGGGTCGTACTTTCTCAGGTTAAACTCATCTAACTCCTCTTCTGAGTTCAGTAACACAAACACCAGAGCTGACCACCGAGCAGGAGAGAGCTTAGTTCCGCTGAAACCACTGCCATCTCTTCTGTTCAGGTACTTTTGTACTTCCTGTACTAGAGACTGATCATTCAGTTCATTCAGACAGTGGAACAGGTTGATGGATTTCTCTGCAGAGGGATTCTCCCTGATCTTCTTTTTGATATACCTGACTATTTGCTCTTTACTGTGTGAGCTCTTTCTTGGTTCTGGAAGTAGCCTTCGTAAGAGAGTCTGATTGGATTCCAGTGAGAAGCCCAGCAGGAAGCGGAGGAAAAGGTCCAGGTGTTCATTCTCACTCTTTAAAGCCTTGTCCACTGCACATCTGAGGAAGGCAAACGTTTGTGGCTTTTTGAAGAAAGCAAAACATCCAGTGGCTTGCTCCAGCAGCACATTTCTGTGGTCAGAGATGAATGAAAAAAATGCATATAAAGCTGCAAGAAACTCCTGAACAGTCAGATGAATAAAGCTGAACATTTTCTCCAGGTGCAGTGCAGATTCTTCTCTGAAGATCTGAGTACAGACTCCTGAGTACACTGACATTTCTCTGACATCAATGCCACACTCTCTCAGGTCTTCCTCATAGAAGATTATGTTGCCATTTTTGAGCTGATGGAAAGCCAGTTTTCCCAGTGCCAGGATAATATTTCTGGTCCGATGAGGATTAATGTCACTTATTCTTCTCTGTTTGATCTGAAAGATCAGGAAGCGTGTGAACATTTGAGTCAGAGTCTTGGGGATCTCTTCACTTTCTGTTTCACTCAACATCTCCTCTAGGACAGTGGCTGAAATCCAGCAGAAGACTGGTATGTGGCACATTATGTAGAGGCTTCTTGACGACTTTATGTGTGCAATGATCTTTTCAGTAAGTCTCTGATCACTGATTTTTTTCCTGAAGTATTCCTCTTTCTGAGGGTCACTGAACCCTCGTATTTCTGTTACCTGATTAATATACTGAAGAAGGGACTGACTGACTGCTGCTGGTCGAGTAGTTATCCAGAGAAGAGAAGAACTGAGCAGCTTTCCCCTTATGAGGTTTGTCAGTAGAACATCTACTGAGGCTGATTCTGTTACATCAGATAAAATCTCATTTTTTTCTAAATGTAGTGGAGGTCGACACTCATCCAGACCATCTAAGATGAACATGATTGTGCAGGAGGCACAGTTTATTAAGTCTATTAATCGAATTTGTTTGATTTGAGGAAAAAAGAGATGAAGAAGATCGATCAAGCTGAGCTTTTTCTCCTTTATCAAATTAAGTTCCCTAAAAGGAAGTGGAAATATGAAGGCGACATTCTGATTCTCTTTTCCTTCAGTCCAGTCCAGAATGAATTTCTGCACAGAGACTGTTTTTCCAATTCCAGCAATTCCTCTTGTCAACACAGTTCTGATGGGTTTGTCTTCTCCAGGTATGGGTTTGAAGATGTCATTGCATTTGATTGGTGTCTCTTCTTTTGATTGTCTCCTGAATGTTGTTTCAATCTGTCTCACCTCATGTTCACTATTGACCATTCCACTCCCACCCCCTGTGATGTAGAGCTCTGTGTAAATCTTATTCAGAAGTGTTGAGTTTCCATCATGTAACACCCCTTCATTTATACTTCTAAATGTCTTCTCCAGTTCAGATTTGTGTGTTTGTTTACACACAGTGATGTATTCTGGTAAGAAAACAGACAGCAAAAATCTTTTGGAAATGTTGATGTTAGGTTTCACGGTTACTGCCATCAAACTGTCACATTTTATACACAAATATATCTTGCATTAACAAAAAATTTGTTGTTAAAAACTGATCATAAACCAGTTTTAAGAATGCAGTTTTAAAGCCATGAAGACAGTGTTTAAAGAGAACAAAAAGGCAAAGCAATTGTGCATGTGATTAGAGATATCAAGGAAATTCCAGGAGTTGCCCACATCAAATTTAAAACTTTGATGCTTTCATAGAAAACCAAAAATACCTCCCTACCCAATTACAGCTGTCAAAACTTCAACACTTGAACTGCAGTTCAAGTTTCAAGTACAGCTAGGCTTGACCTGCCATTCTTCAAAACACATGGAAGGCCAGCATTAAGACTGTTCTCTGTCGTGGCACTCAAGTAGTGAAAAAGACTTCTGCTGGCTGTCTGGACAGTCCCTCCCTGACTGTCTTCAATCATTGACTGAATACCCATCTCTTTGTAAAGCATTTAAAGCTTGTGTTTTACTACTGTAGTTTGTGGCTTTCTTTTCATGTTTCAGCACTGCCTGTTGTTTCTGGCAGTGCCTTAGTTTAAGGGTATTTTGGACCTATTTTGGTCTAGCTAATATACATTCTCTGATTGAAAAAAAAGCACTTTTGTAAGTCACTCTTCTAAATGTCATATAAGTAAATGTTAACATGCTAAAGACAACATGACTGACACCAGCAAAAAGAAAGACACTATACCAAGTCCTACAGACAGAAAAAAGCAATTATTTAATAAGAAAAAATAAGCAAATAAGCAAATAAGAAAAAAAACTTGTTGCAAAGTATGCCTTGCTAGTCAGTTAGCTTACTAAGACTAACCTTGCTGATGGTGAGTGTTTGCCGATTTAATAAGCTGCTGCTTTTTTTCCTCCTTTGTTTTGTGCTATGAGTGGTGGCTTGCATGATATAGAAAGTGTGAGGGGATGATAAAAAAACATTACAGAAATAGGACACCACCAAGACAAAAAACCTGGCTACGAAATCTGTGAAGGGGAAACATAACAGTTCTATAAACATAACTGCAGTTGTGACACGTCGACGCGTGTCACAAGACAACTTGGACTTCATTCCCCAGAACCCTCAGGAGGATCACGTGACTACGCAACTTCCCTCTGACTCAGAAAACTCAGCGGACTGCATTAACCACAATGCTGTGGGGAATCACATGACCTCTGAAGAGATCACACGCTCCTATCAGAGGTCGTACTCACCCGAATACTAAATGTTTGCACCTGTGTTTACAGTCATATGACTTAGTTAGATTAGCTTTTAAGCCCGGGCTTTAGTTTAGCTCTTTGCAAGGTATTGCTTCTTCACAAACATACTGAGCGGTTTTTCCAAGTGTTATTTGCTGTACGTTTTTGACCATTGTTTCATTATTTGACTTTGCCTTTTGCCTTTGCCCTTTTGTACTGTTGCCTGTCTTTGCTGATCTGTGTTTTTGGACCTTTGCCTGTTTTTTGACTTCGTTTTTGCCTTGCCCTTTTTGACTTTGTCTGCTCGGTGATATGATCACCGCTTTGTTTTTGGTTTGTCTTTTGGATTTGACCCACGCCTGCTTTTTGACCACGCATCTGCCTAGCCCTATTAAAACACCTTTTGCCCTTTTAATCCATGAGCGTCTGGTTTCTGACGAACTGTTACAGCAGTATAGACTTGTATGTGAAAGTTTGGGGAGCCCAGGTCAAGTTACACACTTCCTTGATTTCTTAAGTAAAATGTGGAATGTGCATAAATATGGCCACCTATTACAATCGCAAAAGGTATGTAATATAAACTATGTTAACCTTAATCTTCTGAAATTACCTTCATCATCCTTGAATATTATTTAAAAATAATATCTGGTTTGATCTTAAACATGCTGTAAATCAAGAATTATCAGGAACAGAAAGATTGTTAGAGGGCTCCAAAAACCTTTGGAAGGTTTGATTTCAGCCAAAGGGATTCTTACTAGTACTATCCAAAATAAAACCCTGCATTGTTCAAAAATATGTACATGCGAAATTTTATGGTTTATTATTTTTTCAATGTATTAAATTCAGCAAATAAACAATAATTGTGTTAAAATTGCCAGGAATTAAATCATATTAAGGTTCATTCCATACAGAAGTGGTGTAAACTTCTTTTCACTTCAGAAAAACTTCAGCAGTGTGTAATTAGACTATGGGTACTCAAACAAAAATAGTGAGTATGTATGTAAATATGTACCATCTATACTTTATGTAAGTATGCACCATAAATAGACCTTGGCTTTTAATATTGTGGAAAGTATGCCCCAGCTGTGACAACTGAGGGGGATTCTAGGAGCTCTTATTAGGACTTACTAGTGATCATGAATCAATAACAAATATTTTGGTTTATTACTCTGTAATAAATGTCTAGTAGACTTCTCAATCACATGCATTCCATTTTTTCTGTACCGTGAGCTCAGTGCAGTGGAAAACATGCTCAAACAATAAACTATTTACTAAACAGTGCAGTGATCAACTAGTAAATGAGCAGTAGTGTCTAGATACACACATTCAGACTTACCTTCAGTGAGAGCAGAAGCACCGGGAGAGCATCCAGCCTGAACTGAGCTGCTGCTGGAAGTGGGAGCTTTCTGAGCTGGAGGGGTGATAAATAGAAAATCAGGACTTGGTAACACTTTCTGTGTTTATCATGTTCATAAAAAATCATTAACACATTCACTGGTGGCTAGATAGAGTTTTTAGAATGGTTTCTATTTATATGTATTGGATTTATAATTGTTGATGATTAATAATTATTACTTTTTGGGTCTGAAAAGAAGATGTCTACCATATTTGTAAGGGTCCAGCCACAGGAGGTGCCACAAGTTCAGGGAACTCCAATTCCCAGAAGCCATCAGGCTGATTAGGCCCAACCTGGTTCACCTGTGGACTCCTTAAGGCCGTGGCAAACAGCAGCCCTTTGTCACACCTTTGTAGAGGGGTGACCAGTTCGGTAATTAACCCAGGTGGGTATTTATACAAAAAAGAAAAGAAAAGAGGGCAGAAAAAAGAGAAATTGCCCCCAAAACAAAAAAGAGGGCTAAAAAAGAATAAATTGTCCCAAAACTACTTAAAAGCCAAAAAGAAGGTTTGAGGAAGAAATGGCTCCAAGCCATACAAAAGGTGTTTGTTCCTCAAAGAGCAAAAATATAAGGCTGATCTTCATCTCATAATCACAGAGGAAATGTCTTTTATTTTACTTTTTTCTATCTCAGCTTTTGTTTGAACACGCTGGTTTTAGCATCCCCTTAATTTGCCCTTTCCCACCATTTTTTATTCCCATTCGTTGAGGTGTTTTTCCTGTTTTCGCCTGTCCTGTGTGGCGCAGCAGTAACTCCTCGGGCCGCCATTCAGTACCTCGGCAGTTTGAGCCTGGCTCTGAGCCACCTCACCCCAACATGCTCAATCACCTCATTAATTTATTTAAGACCCTTTCTCACAGGTTTTCCTCTCTGCACTTGGGTTCCCCTCTCTTCCGCTCCGTAACAATATTGATCTTTCAGTTTGGCAAGCACAGTTTTTTTTTTAACAAATAAGGTAAAATCCCTAAAGGGCAGTGATGTTTTTAACTATATTGTATTTGCATGGCTGTTGACCTCAATGAACTAGATAATCCTACAGTTTTTGTCTCAGAGCTGTAATCTCAATGTACAAAAAGTGAGAATGTTACCCCCACACACATAGAACATACCTTTTTTTTTCAAAATCTTCATTCGTTTTTGAATGAACTAAAGAAAAGTGATTTATTATCAGCTGCCAAACACACCTTCCACATATCTGCTGAGATCTATGCTTTTTATTATTTTCCAAATAAAACTTCTCAATATGATTAGATGCCAATGATAAGGAACTTATTCTGGTTATTATTCAATTTGCAGAGTGAAGATTTTCCACAAGGGGAACTAATAGAGTAAACCAAACACCAGCATGAACTGACCATATGTTTACAGTAATAAATTGTTTATATGATGTTTTTATAGCAGTGCACTGCAGAAATTGGGTTTTTAAGTAGTGTATTGATCATTTAACAGTGAACAGCTTACTTACTTTAAAAAATTAAAGCATTTTTTGTAGTGGTAATCAGATAAACTGCTTATAAAGTGAAGGTATCTTCATCAAGCACTACTATATGCATTTTATAATTAAATGATTATATTATAATATTATTATAAAGTCTTCCTAGTTCATGTGTTTCCAATAAAATAGGTCAGAAAGGCCCTGCATTATTAATTTTTATATATATCTTTTTTTCAGCTTCACCTTAAAAATTGGATTATTTGACTAAAAGACAAATTATTTGGTATATTACACAATAATAATACATTTATACTGACATAAGCTCAACTCCGCTCAATGCTGCTGCATTTTGTTTGAGTTGTAGAGGATGGATTGACAATTATCAACTCTGCTATAACAAATGCATGAACTCTCTGCATCGCTCTGAGAAAGAAAAGGCTGAACTTTTGAGATTACACACAGATCACACCCATGTCTCCTACTTTGGGTTTGGTATATGAAGCTTATGAGCCCAGCTTCTCACAAAGAAGCTTTCTCTGAGTTTTAGTACCAAGAATCAGTATTTCAGTTTTTTCTTAATTTATTTATTTTTTTTAATTTAGACATTAAGTCACGTAAAAGTAAAAGTAAAAGTACTGTGATTTAACTATACTCAAAAAGTAACATTTGAAGGAAAAAATGTACTTAAGTACAATAATGAGAGTAGATATAACTTGTTAATCTCTGATAATAGTAATCAGTAGAACAAATCTAGGTACACCACCTCAACGCATTATCTAGGGGAGCCAGGGAACAACCTAATGCACGGCACAATTTAGCACAGACTTTTTACATTGTTATACAAGGTAAACCAGTGTGTGCTTCTTGGGCACATTACCATATTTCCTAGCCACAGTCTTCTGCCAAAATTCAGAGCAATTTGTCAGTATTTCAAAGAAATTTGCACCAACGAGTGTTTTCAGGGCATGTAAGTATTTTTTTTCAACAGAAGTTTTTTTGGTTACTGAGCTGTTTGTGTAAATCACAAAATCCAACCTTATATTACTTTCATCACCATCTTGTTTCCTACAATGTAGCACCATTTTGAAGCAGCTGACAAGCTCACAGCAAGTGCAGCTGGGCTTAAGTACAGCCTCTGTACTGCGGGGTTAGTTCTTTCACAGCGGTACAGGTCAGACACCTTCAGTAAACAAAGGGGTAATTTGTAACACTGCACTTCCTGTCATTTTTGGTGGAGTTGTACATAAACGCTAGGAGCTAGAAACAAAGTTCTAGTGTTTGTTTGTAGAAGAGATGTTTATGTTGCTTGTATAAAAATGTGATTATTCCAGCTTAAATCTTATTAGACATTATTCAACAAAAAACAAAATGTGCCCCACTCTTCTCTGTATCTCTGTATAATACAGGTTCTAATAAACTTTAATGTAAACAGACTCTTTAACTTAAAAGCTCAGACGTCTCAGACTTTATCACTCACCTCCATATATGTTGTTTATAACTGTCAGCGATCCTTGAACAGTGTTTCCATCGATCACAGGAGCACAGGCGGTTCCTCCTGTCTGAGCTGTGATGTTGGTCTGGACAGGAGCTCTGTGATCTGGAGTCTGAACCTCCATCTTTTACCGGAAAGGCCTTTGGTCATCAAGCCAGAGAGTAAATTAAGCACATCTCTCTTACTTTTCTCTTAAGGTTATATGTGACGTTTTCGTTACTAAACATGCTGCTGAACATTTCACTTGGACTGACTGACTAAATAGGTTTGTCACCACAGGAGAAACTGCAGCACTTCCTCTGTCAAAAAATGTGAAGTGAGTATCATTTCTTAAGCAAGAACTTCCTGTAATTTGGGGAATTTAGAAGGATGTGCTACATAGAAAAAATAAACTATAAATAAATAAATTATCATTTATAGAGTTTGTCACCTTGTACACTTTTACTTTGTGATGCATGTGGAAATGTGGAATGCAAAGAAAAATACATTGTAGTCTACATTTTATGCCAAGGCACCTGTTCGGTAACACTTTAGAATACTGGTCCATACATAAGCATGGATTAATACTTAACACATCTGGAAATAATGAAGTGTACACGTTAATAAAGAACTGAATCAAATATGAAAAACCATTAATAAAGGTAATCATTAATTATTAACATAATTCCAACTCAATCTGTTAATTAATACATGACTAAATATATTAATTAACCTTTTATGTAATACATGTCTAATGGAGATGATGTAGGTTAACACAAATTCTAGGCTAATAATTACTACACTAATCTGCAGGAAACTAAATGGCTTTGCTGTCGAACAATTTTTTTTATGACATGATATTCTTTATATTGATTTTTTGATGCCTTTCACATTGTGTCAATGTTTCATGATTAATGGATTATTAGAAGTTTCATTACAATTACATGACAAGGGCGGGACTCAGTTTCATGCACTCTTTTTAATCATTTATTAAAAAGATTTTATTTAATCAGCAATCATGTGCCACAAAAAAGACAGTATGTAATGATCATGATGTATACTACTATTCATTAATGTCTGTGTATCATTAGTCTTTATATGACTGTATCATGTAACTTGTCTAAATTCTAAATGTCCCCCACCAGTAAAGTCATGATGTGTGTATATATATATCACGCATAACATTAAGACCACCTCCTTGTTTCTACGCTCATTGTCCATTTTATCAGCTCCACTTACTATATAGGTGCACTTTGTACTTCGACAATTACAGACTGTAGTCCATCTGTTTCTCTGCATGCTTTGTTACCCCCCCTTTTACCCTGTTCTTCAGTGGTCAGGACCTCCCATGGACCCTCCAGCAGCACTGCTGTGCCTGATCCACTCATACCAGCACAACACACACTAACACATCGCCACCACATCAGTTACTGCAGTGCTAAGTATGATCCACTACCCAAATAGTACCTACTGTGTGAGGGTCCATGGGGGTCCTGATCTCTGAAGAACAGGGTAAAAGGGGGCTAGCAAGGGTTCATTCATCCCTCCACATCCCCGGCCACTGCAGGACTTTTCTTTGTGCAAAAGAAAGATGGAGGGCTTCGTCCATGTATTGACTATAGAGGGTTGAATAACATTACTAAAGCCTATCCTGATCCTCTTCCTTTGGTACCTGTCGCCCTTGAGCAGTTGCGGGGAGCCAAGATTTTCACCAATCTTATAATCTGATTAGAATTAAAAAGGCTCACCACTAAGGGGCACTATGAGTACTTTGTTATGCCATCCGGCCTCAGAAAAGCCCCCTGTGTGTTCCAATCCTTTATTAATGATGTACACAGAGACATGTTGGGGAAATTCGTGATCGCATATATTGATGACATTTTGATTTTTTCAGAAATAGATTCTGAAAATGATGAGTATAACAATCACAATGCACTGCCTACCTCATGCCCTAGTGATAAAAAGTTCGTGCCTATTCTGTTTTGAGATCGTCTTATTACCTGGGCTCTTTCTTCTCTCACCTCGGGTCATCCGGAATAAACTCGCACTCACCAGTTGTTGTCATCAAAATACTGGTGGGAGAGCATGGTTGCCGATATTCATCGGTTTGTAGCATCCTGTTCCACTTGCTCGCAATGCAAAACCACATGTATGTTGCCCGTTGGCAAACTGATGCCGTTGCCCGTACCTTCTTGTCCCTGGTCGCATATTGCATTAGATTTTGTCACTGATTTGCCTGTTTCTGATCGTTACACTGTCTAACTGTGGTTGATCGATTTTCCAAAGGTGTACATTTTATTCTATTCACCCAACTACCTAATGCTTTGCAAACTGCTGAATGTGTGTTTAACCATGTATTTCGCCTGTTTGGTATCCCCGAAGACATTGTCTCTGATAGAGGCACTCAATTTACTTCTCAGGCTGCTGGATGAGGTCATGCCCGACGCCAGCTCCCTGCGTCCGAGATCATGGAGGGTGCACCTGTCTACGCTGTTCGTCGGCTCCTGGACTCGCAGCGGTGCAGAGGTGGCCTGCAGTACCCGGTAGACTGGGAAGGGTTTGGACCAGAAGAGAGGAGTTGGGTACCGGTGGAGGATGTGTTGGATCTGGCTTTGATGGAGGAGTTCCATCGAAGTCGTTCACCACAACCCGCACCGCGTCTCCGTGGTCGTCCTCATGTGCGGCCTTCCAGTCCTCCCGGTGTTCATTGACGATCGGCTGATTGTCGCGGTCGTCCTTGTTCGCAAGCTGTCTCGGACTCTTTGGGGGGGAGTACTGTCACGCTTCCGGGTTCTCCTCCCTTGCCTAGCATGCTCCATGACTCCATTTCCCATAATTCCAGTCCCGATGACATCATCAATTTGAAATCCAATTCCTCCAATCCACACGCAACTGCCTCATTCTCAGTCACCCGATTCTAATGCAATTCACCTGTGTGTTGTTTGTCTCGGAACCTAAATAGTCCTCGGTTTGTTCTCCTCGTTGTGAGGTATTGCCATTCATATGGACTACGGAGTGGTATTTCTCTGGTTCCTCTACTTGTGCCTTGAACCTTTTGCCCGTTTTTGAATTTTGCTCTTTTGGATTTGCTCATCTGCTCTGTTTGCTTGTATGTTTTGTTTATTCTGGTTTTTCACTCATGCTTGGTTTTTGGATTACGATATTGGATTTGCCCTGAGATTTTGTTTTACTTGGATTTTTGTACTGACAACTCTGTTATTAAACAGACGTCCATTTTTAAGATCCACAAGTGTCTTCTTGCATTTGTGCAGCATTTCAATTATCACTGAAGAACATTTATTGAAACACACAAATTATAAATGTCTTGCAGCATAAAATATGAGGAAAAAACAATGTAGCTTAACTAACATGATGTGTTTCATGTCAAATCAGCACTGCTGAAACACTGAACGGAGAAGTTAGCTCAGCGCTGTCTTTGTGAATGTGTTTAAAATGATGCCAGACGTTTTTCTTCTAAATGTGCGGCCACTTTTTTGTTTGGTTGTAAACTAAAATGATTCTGGGCATATATTAGCCAGATCAGGCTCAGAAATGAGCTTTCACCCCCCCTCCCCCTCCAACCTACTCTGCGGTGCACAAGACAGGACGGTCCACAATGCTGCCTGAACAAAGCTAGACTAAAATTAATCAGAATTTTGTGAGGGTGTAAAGAGTGTTTTAATTCTGTGCATCCTTAAATGTTGCTCTGATTGTCTCAGTGCAGTTCACCTCGCTAAGGTTACATAGCCCACATAGTATTTATGTTCAAGCATAATTTCAGTTGCACAAAGAGGGCTCTTACTCGACACATGCACTCTGCAGCACCACATTTCTGCTGGATGAAAGTATTGCTTGTGCTAATTCACAAAGCCTTACAATGTAATTTACCATCAATTAATGAGATTTTAGCCTTTGGGAAAATTTTTGTTCAGTGACAGAAGCGATGACTGATAAAGGCATAACAAAACAATCACTGCAAATAAGTTTGGATGGTACTGAATTAGCACAGATGCTAATTTTTCTGGTTGCATCCTGTCCAAAATTAATTAATGATATATTAATGTATTAACCAATGACTTTATAACATATTTACATCATGACTACTTTGTGGGGCACATCATCATTACATAATGCTAAATGTAGACCAAATAGACTACAAATAAACATGTTAACTAATGATGGTTAAATCAACTAAATCATGACTTAAAACTGCCATTACATGCAAAATGATTACCTATTTTGCTAAATATATTAAACTATTATTTTGTTGCAAAATTATTTAATCTGAGAAAACATACTTTCTGCAAGGCTGTTAGAAGAGGGTTTGTTTAGCAGGTCACATTACATATAAAGTACACAACTGTACAAATGTATATATTCTTTAATATTCTGGGCATATTTAATGCCTTTTTTGACATTGGTTATAAGCCTATAATGATGATGCATAAATATGTTAAGCCACAAATTTGCTTATTTAGCATTACATACTAACATTTTCCTGATATGTCATTACAGTTTAAATAAATAAACAGCACATCATGCAATCTTTTCAATCTAAGCTCAGCCCCAAATTCAAAAATATGTAATACTGCATTTAGTTAAATATGTTTAACTTGGTGGATGCAAGCCATTGATTTTCCTGCAGATTAGTGTTTTAGTTATTAATTTATAATTTGTATTAATCAATATTATCTCCAAACAAACATTATGCATTATAGAAAGGGTTTTAAATAATATATCAAGTCTTAAGGATCAGAAGAAACAGAATGAGTTAAAAATGGCTGTTTAATGGTGGTCCTTAAACACTTTTTAATAATACTACTCACAGTTGATCGTGGAATATCTAGGGGGGGAAAATTTTACAAATTGACTTCTTATTACAGAACGACACTCGAATTCAGTGAGCTCTTTAGAACTAACCATTCTTTCACTAATGTTTGTAAAGGCAGACAGCATGGCTAATTGCTTGATTTTATTCAGCTGTGGCAATAGGACTGAATTATTAATTCTATGATTAAGAGGTGTTTCCCAATACTTTTGTCCACATAGTGTATATCTTATATACTACTACTAAAAAAAAATCTTTTTAGAGAAATTTTCATGCCAGTGGCAGCTCAAAGTGCTTTGCAGACAGCTGATAAAGCTTAACAGTAATATTAGAAACTACGAGTATAAATTTAAAATCATATAAGACAGTGACACAGATCAGATTAAAAAGACAAATACTAAAGAGATGTAGAATTTTACAACCCCATTTCCAAAAAAGTTGGGACTTATTTACA